ATATATATATACATGCAAATGCATATATATACTTATATATATATATACACATGCACACACACATATATATATATATATAGTACAGGTAATCGATCCGTTGGTATATAATCTGGGTGGATCCTAATAATATTAATTATTAAAACTGTACCACAGAGAACTCGATGTATTTATTATAACAGAGCATATGCATTTTTACAGCAAAAGAAAAAAAATTACCTCAACATGGGATAGTCTATTTAGGGCCGTTCTGTACACGGCTATCATCAGCCCCTAAGTGTCTGTCTCGGAGCATTTTTTTAAATTAATTTTCAATGTCAGTCCTCCTCTGGTAGACGCCTTGTTAATGAGAATAGGTTTATGTTAGCGACTGGTGGCGTAAGTCATCTTATCCCAGGGGAAGCGGTTTGGAGTTGGAGTTTATTTATGGCTAGGACCTTTCGTTGTTTGTAGTTTAATGTCAGTTCCTACTACGTTTCTTATACGAGTCCCAAGTGTGTTTTTCTGGGATTCACAGTAAATAGTTTTTGTACTACAAGTGTCCAATATTATTAATAAGCCATGGGGGTGAGGGGTTAAACTTAAACCCGTTAAGATTAATGTAAACTAGTTGAATTATAGATTGTGGGTAATACCCGAGCAGCCAATAGAATAAAACATGCTGGCCAACACACTTATACGCATACATATCTTTATACGTACATATATGTACATTTACATACGTATATGCCACTATACGCACAAGAGACGGCGCATGCGGGAGGCTGGAGTGTAATGGTGTAGAGCATCTGCAGTACCTTTGGTATTGGTTCAATTGTTAAAGTTGGTGGAAAACTCAACAGTGTAGGCAAAATGCAGCTAGTTAAGGAACATGTTCTGCCATATTTGACTGACTAAATGCCACCTGGAGCTATTTATCAACAGCCCCATTCACAAGGCCAAAAAAGCAATGCAATTTTTTGATCACCATAATATGGATATCATTGAGTGGCCTTCACAGAGTCCGGATCTTAATCCGATTGAAAACTTATGGAATTGTATTTCTAAAAGTGTTCACGCTAAAAAACCGACAAATTTATCACCAATCATACGATTATATTAAGCAAATATGGCAGAGCATTCCAGAGCAATCCAAATGATTCTTGTGCTCACTTATTAAGCTCGATGCCTAGGTGATGTGAAGTTGTAATTAATAATAATGTTTACAGCACTAAATATTGATAAATAGTTTTTTGGGTTTTTTTATTTTTGCTCATTTTTACTATAACTTTTTGCTTTAAATATAATAATACCCATGCGGTTATAAACGTATTTTGCCGGCAAATTTAGATAATTTAATCCAGCATTAAAATTTTTCAAGATGTAGAAAGATATACAATTTTTACATCATTCGAAAGGGAAATAAATTCTGCCTAAAGCGTACACAATAAAAACTAATTTATATTGTTTTATTAGAAACACTCTGAAATGGATAAAACTTTTCGCCAGTGTATATATAAAGAATCAAATTTAAAATTTCCTAAAAACATTGACTTTGGAAATATACACTTGAAGTTCGATTCTTTTTTTTTTTTTTTTTTTTTTTATATGGGTACTAACATATGTGTGTATGTGTATTCACAATTCTGTATATGGTAATTTTGTGACGCTTTTTATGCATCAGGATTTCATCGGACTGGGCTTAGTTGGCGTTGTCACGTCTGCACATGCGCACGAAACGAGAGACGCAGGTAGTTTCAAAATCTTTTGAAAGAATAGAATATCTTTTTTTTTTTTTTTTTTTTAAAAACTCAAATTCATTTGTATTCTTTTCCTTTTTCTCTCCATCATCTTTATTTTTGACTATCCCACACTGTGACAATATAAAATCTACCAAGAATGGTGATATATTGCAAGAGCCTGGACGCAAATATATCGTGGCTGAATTAGCGATCAAAGCATTTTCCATACACTTTCGTCTCAGTGGATTATTTGATTTTCAATGCGAAAAAATATTTCAAAATCGAAGAGCTGTCTTTCCTAACAAACCTAACGAATCAATAATAAAAAAAGAAAAAAAAAAGTACATGGTTATTTATGATTGTCATTACATCATTTATAATTTTAAATTAATAATTTATTTTTATTATTTTAATATTATTAATATTATCCTTATCTATTTTTTATACTCTAAAGTTGTTCTTTATAATTATCTCTTTATTTATTTATATTATTTTATTTATGTTGGATATTATTATTATTAGTAGTAGTTTAAATTGTGATTGCTGTCTAAATGACATGATTAGACATTTTACTAAAAAACTATTTTAATTCTGATCAACATCTTACCCAGTATATTACATGTTCAGCCCTTTAAGGAAAAATTTTTTTTTTTTATACGTCATCTTATTTTATTTTTTTGCTATTGGCTCATTTATTTCTTCGTTTCACTCTATCGTCCTTTAATATTTTTTTTTTAAAAAAGAAAAAAAAGTGTGCATGTGTGAATATATATTATAATTATTTTTTAAAAAAATATGTTTCCATCTTAAATTAAACTTAAAATTTGAAGTTCTGTTCCATTATCAAGGTTATTTCAGCATAGCTTGAAAATGGAACTGAACTTCAAATTTTAAGTTTGCGTTTTGAAACAATAATTTCTGTGTCGCGATAAAAACATTTTTTAAAGAAATAATTATATTATGCTCTGTGTATCGAGCATGTTTTTTTTTTTTCTTTTTAAAAATAAATACTAAAGAACTCTGGATTACAAATCTGCTCTTATATATATATATATATATATATATATATATATATATATATATATATGGTAGCATATTTTCATTCAAGTATATTTGGTTGAATAATTTGGACGTATTATGTCTAATTATTTTACTTTTAATCCTTTCAGGTCCACAAATGTCGTGATGACTGTAGAAAATTGATTAAAAAAAAAAAAATTACAAAATTTTCTTTGAAATTATTTTTTATTTTGCCAAGTACTTTCAATCTCATCTGTGACTATCTTCAGGGGTTGCATATCTATGTATGTATTATGTGTTAACACTAAATTCAAAATATTTTTACCGCTATGCAATGGAGGTAATTTATGTGATTTTGTTTTATAAGATTTTTTAATTGTAACATTTTAATATATTAATTTTTATATTATATTAATTTTATATAACACTTTGCTGATACAAACATTTAAGAACTTTGTTACTATACTCCTAATTGAGTTCATTTATTTTTGGCTGCAATTCTCTCATAGGAATATAACTCCTTGGTTAATTCCTTTCCTTCCTCCATGTTTTCATACTCCTGAAACAGCTGAAGTTCCTGTCGTCAACTCCTCTCAATGCTCGTCAATGTTGCCTGTGTCAACCTTGAAGACCAAAAACTATCTCCTCAACCTTAGTTCTTCTGTGGCAAAATTCTCAAATTCTTGTCAGAAACACATTCAGGCCACAGCTTCCTTCATTCAGAATTCAGGGTCCTCATATCACATCATTGCCAGGCCATATTGAAGATGCTGAGGCAATTCACAATGTGAGACTGGTCCTTCTGGAAATTAGTTGGTAGGTGACATTATCTGTGATAAGTACTTTGAAGAATTTTCTCCAATAAAACAAATAAATGTTCTGGTCATCAGGCATTCCCAGATACGTTTCACCTTGTCTTTGACTGTGATGATGTTAGCTGGCAATGCTTCTCTACCAGTCACCGACTGCTATGTTTATATGACAGGTGTTCAAAACTGCAAATTTTTACTCATCCTCCTACGAAACAAAAAAAGCTCATGAATGGTAGCTTGTAAAGCAAGTTGCTTGTATAATGGTGTAATCGTACTATGAGGTTTTGCTATATATACACAATCAATATAATTAAATATTCAAACAAATTGTATCAAGTTCAACTAGCAAGAGCTGTTTAAATTTTGTTGCATTTTTCAAGTTTTAGAATATTATGAAATTTTATACAAACTATGCCCAGTTCATATTTTTCTTGAACCACTTTTGACAGGATATGCAATTTATTTCAATAATTGGAATAATTTAAATAAAAGAAAATATCAGAAAGACAAATTTAATAACTTTTTTTTTTTTTTTTAAATATCTGAAGGGATGCTGAAAATCCTTGAATCATCCATGAAGCCCAGTCATTTAATCATATTCTTGGAAGTGGCCCAGATGGGGAAAAAATACAGCATCTTATATTTTGTAGGTAGGATAAAGTTTAAGAAATTCCTTGCCTAGACAATCATCAAGATTAGTAAAGGAAAAAAAAAGATGAAAGCTCTTGATGCAGCCACTTTAATATCTTGATTAGGAGAAAATGTTTGAAATAGGTCTGCAAAGAACTGTAGAAGGAAGAAACTTAACATCCATTTCTGTAAAAGCATCATCAGGAGTAGAAAGTCTTCTACCTCAAAATTTCCAATCCTTATTGGAAATCACAGAATTCTCCAATAGCACAGATTGAAAAATTCCCATGAAATTGATATCATTATATTTGACTATTCATCAAGGCTGACCAGTTGCAATCATTCAAACCTAACCTTATTTTCCCTGAATGACATTTGTTTTACTTACATACAACTGTAGTAGTGTTCAAATTTCTTAGATGAACCATTATTTATTCATTTCTGACCATTCCTTTCATCGTTTATGTTGCTTTCAGTAAAGAGGTGTAATGAAAAGCAGTCACTAAAATGAATGAATTCAAATTATATGTAAATGCACATGTTTAGTTCTTTTGTTTAATTTTATATATAAAATAACATTTAGTGTTTGACTTTTTACTGTAATAGAGTTATGTACCTTACACTAGCAATACTAAGTAGCTGTATCTTTGCCAAAAATCTTTGAACAGTCCATTACTAAGCCAGAAGGTGAAACAATAATAATAAAAAAAAAAACATTGTCATTTTTGACAGCAAAGATAGACTAGTTAATAATTAATGCTTCATCCGAGAAATTTGAATATTACATCGGATATTAAATTTAGACAAATATTTAATATTACTAAAACCCAGCAATAGCTAAAAAAAAGCAAAAGAAATAAAGAAACACCGTAGTCATTATAAAAAGAAAACTTGACAAGGTTTTTGTTTATTTTACACATATGCAGGGTTAGACATGCAGGCAGTTTTGTACAGGGAACGTTCTTACTGACAATGCAGAAGAATTTGAAGATGGAAAGGGGCAAAGGGGTCAGTTGAAGAAGAAAGAAAGTAGGAGAGAGAAAGAACCTAGACAAGAGTTTTAAACAGTTTTTTTTTTTTTTTCAGATCTACATAAAGGCAGCACAAACATGGTGATCAAATTTACAATGTTGTTGTTGTTATTTCTTGGCACGGCACAGAGGGGGTAATACCCTCACATTCTAGGCCGGCCAGCAATGAGCACGACACTATAGACAATGTGGACTGTACACATTGAATAGGAAAATAAAGTTTTCAATCATGATTATTTTTTTGTTTTATTTTGTTTTTTTTTTTTTTTTTTTTTAAAACCAACTAATGTTTTTTGCTTTGTATTAAATGGTAATGCTTCTCTTCTGCGTTGTCTAAAATTTTGCTTTAAAAAACTTCAAAAATTTTTTTTTTTTGTTTTGTAAATTTTTCTTTTAGGCTACCTTTCTGTCTTTTCTTCCTTTCAATCTTACTGTGCATTTTTCTGTTTTTACTGGCGACTCATGTCCAGGAATAATAATAATAATAATAATATTAATAATAATGAGAATGTGAGGAGAGGCAAATTTACAACTTACAAATAATGAAATGAACAGATGACTGCTGTATATACAAAGCTACTGATGAGGAGAATTCAACTTCTCAAGTTCTTTTTATTTATTTATTATTTCTCCATATGTACAATTTTCAAAATTATTGGTCTATCATGGTCTCCACCGAGAGGGGTGGGGAAAGAGAGAGAGAGAGAAAGAGAAAGAGAGAGAGAGTGTGCCAGCCAAAAATGTTGAGTGAGTGAATGAGTGATTATGAGTGTGGTCAAGTCAATGACTCAAAGTGTGAGTGAACATCCAAAAAGAAGTCTTTTAGTAACTCTGGGATTGGTTATATTTAGATCTTGGAAAATAATTTTTTGGAGCAGGTGATTGAAGTTGTGACTGGTTTATGGTATACTGTGGAGGTGGCTGTTGTTGCTGTTGTTGAGATTGCTGCTGTTGTTGCTGTGGTGGTGGTGGAGGAGGGGGAGGTGGCTGTTGTGTCTGTGCTGGGGGAAAAGTTTGGGGTGGTGGGTGGCTGGAGGGATTTCCTGTTGGAGCTGGAGGGGGCACATAGGGAGGTGCCACATGTTGGGGTAGAGGTGGAGGGAAGCTTCCACCATTAGGAGGTGGAGGCAGAATTCCCTGCGGTGGTGGGGGAGGTTGCCTCACGAAGTTGGTCCCGTGTGGCGGTGGTGGAGGAGGAGGGGGCGGAGGCATTTGAAAGTTGGTGGTACCCTGGTTTTGAAGTACAAGAGATTGTCCTTGACAGGGATTAGGGGGTGGAGGTGGATGCCCAAATTGTGGCTGTTGAATTGTAGGAGCTGGCATCTGTGGAGGAGGTGGCCCATATGGTGCAGATGCCTGAGAAACAGGTGGTGGTGGCCCTGGAGGATATTGTGGAGGCTGAGTTGTGACAGCAGCTGGTGCAGAAGCTGGATGGCTGAACTGAGTGTTTTGAGGTGGCGGTGGTGGTGGTGGTGGAGGAGGAGACTGAAGTGGATGAGATGCACTCGATGCTACACCTGAAACAAAAAACAAAATTACATTAAAGTTTCAGTGGGAAAAAAAAAAAAAATTAAAAATAATTTAAAAAAAAAAGAAAGAAAAAAAAAGTGAATAAATAAAGTAAAAACAGTACTTGAATATTTGAACATTAAATTAGAGGATTAAGTCAGTTTCATCAGCTGATGAAAAGGAGGTCAAGATTCCAATTTTAGATCAGGGCAATGAATCACAGCAAACAGCATTCTCTCAGCATTAGCTATTTATACCAGAAGGGTAACTATGAAGGGGCTCCAGTTCATACAAGTAAATGTCATTTGTCTGAAAACTGGCATCACCAAAATAGTTAAATTAAATTTTCATTTTGTTAAATGCTTCACTTCACTAATAAATCCAGGCAGAGAAAATTAAGGGGAGATAACTGATATCTGAATGGTGCTTTTCTTAAATTATGTATTGTTTAAAAATGAGAGTCATTAATATGATTGTTGCATATTTATAATGACAAATTTGAATTCCAGTCGAATCAATTACATTCACTTACATGCTCATACTCTTGGGAAAGGTATGAATCCTTTTCTCCCCCTAACTATGGATAAATAGCAGGACAGACTGGATTCTATAGTCTTGGGTGGCAACTGTTCTAGGAGAAGGTAGCTCTGAATTTAAAACTGTAATTAGCCCTGGCGTAGCACATACTATACAGCTAAAGAAAGGATGATTTGCATTGACTCGATGATCCGAACTACAGTTGAGTGATGATGATGAATGACTAACAAGTCAGTTAGTTTGCTTAGGAGGATTCTTTAAGGTTTAAATCAATTAAAGCCAAAATAAATATAAACAAATTATAAATATTAAATAATATTGAATAATAATTAACACTGAAGACTTGTTTTTAAATATTAAATTTATTTACGCATGTATTTTGGATAGGACAAACATTTAAATTTTTTTTTTTAAATTTTTTACATTTTAAAAAAAAATCTCTAGGATAAAACCAAAATATGAAGCAACTTTATTACATGAAGACTTTAGTGATGATTTTATGGAAAAAGAAATGGGATTCATTATTGTAAATAACTAATAATAACATAATTTTTAAATGATACATAATTTTAAAACTTCTATTTTGATATAAACGCTATCTCCATTTAATTTTATAATTTCTAATTTTTTGGCAAAGTAAATAATTAAAAGTAAAGATTCAATGTAACATTTAACAATCTGCATCATTTATAAATATGACTCCTTTTAATGTTTATGGAATCCCCTCAAAATATAGGTTTTATATAGCAGTTTTATATACCTGGTTCTCAATTTCAATCACAATTGTTTTAGATGTTGCCATAGAGGGTTATGACTACACAACCAAAAAATTCAACTTGCATTGGCAGGACTAACATTTTGTTTGGTGAAAATAGTCACCCTCAGAGTGATAAAGTGAAGACAATTTTTGAGCAAATGACATTCACTGTTATGATTACCTCCCCTTATGAAACAATATGTTATCGTTTTAAAAGTAAAATGTGCTCGAGTTTCAGTTACCCTATTAGTTGCTTTGGCACTAAGTTAGAATTGCAATAAACCCAGACTATGAGTCAAGCTTTTTTTTTTGTTAATCATAATAAACAGTTAACTTAAAATTCCTTCAATTATATTTTCTATTGGAAATCAAAAGAAAAAAAAATTCTCTTTTGAAATTTTTATCAAAACTCAAATAAAAAGTAAGAAATATTTTTGAAAAATAAAGCTATTTTTCTGGAGCTTGTGATATATAACCACCAAGATAATGTGATAGAAAACATTTTAAAACATTTGTGCAGTATTCACAATTTATTTATTAAAGATTGGTTTCAATTTTTGAGTATAGATAGCTTCAACAGGCATGTTATTGTAAATGTTGAGAGATGTTAGGTGCAACATTCAAATGAAAACTTAATCCTTGTTTTAAAATGTTTACAGTAGGTACTTTAAACTATCTAGGTTTTAACTAATAGTTTTAAATAGTTTTCTTTTTTAAAAATATTTAGACATTTCAATAACTTTATTAACTCCCTTGACATGTGCTTGTGTGCCTACAGATAAAATTTAAAAGTTGTACAGTACATAATGTTTTCCACCTCACATGTAAAAAATTTAATTTTCAGATGAACACAACAATTTTGTCTTAGAAAAACAAGACCCTGATGATGACATTGTTGGAAGTACTTGGAATAAAATTAATATGCATCAACATGGTAATATTCTTTCTTAGTTTAATAAGGATACTAACAAACTTGCCTGTAATTATGAGAGGATCCTATTAAAAATAAGTAGACAAAACTTGTCTAAATTATTTAATGAGACACACACACACATATATATATATTTATATATATATATATATATATCTGCAATCGACATATACGGGTCAGTGATGCACCACTGACCCATATATGTATAAATAGCCGAGAAAAATAACAGCACACGTGGCCTGACGATTGCATATAGTATGAAACAGACTGTCGCCTCTAAGTGTTGACTTCTATGTTCACTTTTATATTTACACACGCTCTATCTCTGATATCGAGCACTTTATCCCAGAAACATAGCACACCTTAAGACTATATTTCTTCATTATATATATATATATATATATATATATATATATATATATATATATACACACACACATACTTAACTTCATGATATCACAAAACTGCATGAATCCTACAGTTTAAAAATTATTTTTAAATATGAAAAATTGTTCTTGAAGCCCTCTTTTTAACTTTAATTCAAAAGGTAACAGAATAAATTTGCAATAACCATTAAGCAAAATATTTTGGTGTTTTAAAAACTCAATTTATAGATTGGAATAAACTTTTTTCTCTGTAAAAAAAAAAAAAAAAAGTTGGACATTTTGAGATATTTGTAAACAAAAATTCTTCGTTTAATAATAAATAACAAAATACTTTCAACAGTCTAATATTTTACCATTTTTTTATTTTTTAGGTACTATAATTTTAACCTTACTTTTGAAGATGATTTCTGGAAAAATTTAAAATACTATAAAAAAAATTTAAAATTTCGTAACTGCTGAGGGCGAGATAAAATTTCATAAGAGAGGTACCTATAACTTTTATGTACATCTCTTATAAAATTTTAAGGTATTATTTTTTTTTTTATTAATTTGCATTTGATCACCATTATTTTTATTAATTTTTCTCATTTATAAAAGAGTGAGATAACTGAGATAATACAAAAATAAGACCATATAAATTTCATTAGATACCTAATAATTGTAAGTACCCTTCTCATATTTGAAACATTATACATTTTTTACTGTGTTAATTTTTATTTTTCATATTTTTTTAACCTTGTTATATGACAGTTTTGAAAGTGTGAATATTTTGTACTAATTATGTAATCATTTACACTTTTTATTTCATTTATTCATAGTCAAGTAACAATCTGTTTAAAAATTAAATAAAAATGTAATTAATTACTTTAGTTACTTGAAATCAAAAAATAACTGATGACTATATAAAACAATAAATAAAAATTAGAGGAATTTCTCAATGTGTTTGCCTAATGAAGTCACCAAATTTCTGAGGCTGTCAGGGGAAACGAACCTCCGTGACTTTTTATGGTCTTCATGCTTCTTACGGTCATCTGTACATTTGAAATAAAATTGTTTTTATGCACACACACACACACACACACACACAAAAGTAAAATACTAAATATGGTTTTCAAATTGTAATAAGCCTTAAAATTTATGATCTGTAAAGATAGATCTACTTAATAAAACCATTGCCTAAAAGGCTCAGTTTTGAAAATATTTAACAACTTTAATGTAAAATTGTAAAACAGGTTAATAACAAAAAAGGCAATTGTAAAAATTCATTTTTCATTATAAAAATTTTTTTTTTTTTTTTTTGCCTTAAGACAATATTGTCCTTATTCATAAAAGTAACTAAAAGCCTTTCAAATTAAATAATGTCTTTGTTTTATTGGGCTTTGTATATTACAATGCAGAGCCAATTCTCGGTAATGAGTGGTTCAATTAAGAGAGAGAACCCCCCACCCAAAAAAAAACGATTTTAATTCTCCAAAGATTTCTGCTTTTAGCTAATAAAATCAATAAAATACTCAGTGTTGAATGTCTAGTTATAAATTAGTTATTATTATGGCTCTCTAAAAAAAACCCACAAACATTTAAAATAATTTCAATCATTTGTAGTTTTGGAAAGTTTCATTAAAATGCAAAAAGGTTATTTTTATTTTTTGCAAGATTTCACAAATTAATGTGTCCGCCAATGCAAAAAATTTGCTATGTCATTTTATAGTACTTCTGCTGACGTAAAGACAAACATGATTTTTAATCAAGTTAGAATGTTCTAAAATAGATGTAAAAATTTAAAATAATCAAAAAATACTTTGTCTTCCCTCTTAATAATAAACATTTTAGCAATAAAACTTTTTGTTTTCATCAAGTTTGACGCTGTTTTTATATTACGCTTTTTTAGTAAAACTGTAGCGTTTTATATGAGAGAGAGGGTCCTGTATGCTACAAAACATGGTATTTTACATTAATGAAGAAATTTAGCATATTTGCATTCAAGATCGCAGATCAAAATGTTATTTTCATTTTACATTTTTGAAGATTAAATATCAGATTTTTAGTTTAGTCTCTATAAACATTTTTAGATTCATTCTTTAACTATACAAAGGATTTTTTTCTCCTCTCAAGATCAAAATTATCAGAATCTTATAGGAATACAATTATAAAACATACTTATTTCTCTGTTGCTTTGAATAATTACCAATAATTTAGGAAGTGCTTTTGCCTATTTTTCTTAAGAAAAAAAATCCTAAAATATATTTAATGATAATGTTGTATCTATTACTTACCTTGATAGGCATAATGTGAATGATGTTGAGTAATCTGAGGTGGTGGTGGTGGTGGAGGAGGTGGTGGCTGCTGAGGTTGTGCTTGCTGTTGAGGAGGGGGTTGCTGCTGAGGAGCTGGTTGTACGGTTGGGGGTGGAAGAGGTGGTCCCACTACACAAGGAGGTCTTGGTGGCCGAGGAGAAGACATTGGGGGCATGGGCGGTGGTGGTGGAGGTGGTGTCACAGACACCACAGCACCTGGAGGTGGAACTTGTGGTGGTGGTGGAGGCTGACCTTGTGGAGGCAGTGGGGGCGGGGGTGGTCCTGGTTGACCAGCAGGAGCTTGGAATCGCTGATGATATGTCTGAATGGACATGAGAGAAGGAATTCCTGGACTCTCTGACACAGGAACCGCTGATGGAGGGGGTGGAGGAGGAGGAAGCGGAGCACCTGGAGTTGGTATTAGGTGCCTGGGTTGGTGTGGAGGTGGTGGTGGAGGCAAAGGTGGTCGGCTTGGTAACACAGGCGGTCCACTACTATGTACAGGAGCCTGAGGTGGAGGAGGATATTGCGTAGCAGGTAAAACAGGACGACTAGTTGCCACAGGTAGTGGTTCTGATATCATTTCTGTAATTTAAAAAAAAAAAAAAAGAAAAAAAAAGACAATTTTTAAAATTTCAAGCAAAATAACACAATAGGAATTACTAAAAATTTCCAATAGACATATACCAATTCGTTTTTGCATTTATAAAAAAAAAAGAAAGGTTTTTTAACAACTTGTTTAACTCAAGATGCAGAAAACTAAATCAATTGAACCCTTAAGTAATGTCCAGAATATTGAGGATTCCATGACATTTTAGACTATGCAATTTATTTCAAGATATTTATGTATAGTTAACAAATCAGGATAAATTTCCAAGCAAAGACCAAATTACTCAAAGAATAATTCCATATTAATGTGTTTTCTGGTCAACATAAAACACAATTTCATTAAAATATTTCACAAAGTAATGGTATGAATCTGTATCTATTTCTTAATAAAGTATAAGAGGTGTTTTCAGATGAAGCACTGTCAGTGAGTATCAATTTTAGTTGCTTTTATTGTTACTCTCATTATTGAGCAAGCAACACAGAATAGAATTAAAGAATTATTTTTAATCTGAATTTCTGTTCAATGCTTATTTAATGAGCTGAGAATAGTGATAAGCTAATATGAAAGAAGCATTAGTAAAAAAAAAAAAAACAAACAATCTGAAACTAGCTTTTAGGTGGTTTAAGACTTTTTCATATTTTATTTACAAGAAGGTCAATATAACAGGACAAGAAGAGTTGTTTAAAAATAATATAGATAACTGTCTGACCAAAATATAAAAATGCATATAATTCTAAAAAACTTACTTATAAATAAAACTTTTTTAATTTTTTTTTTTTTTTATAGATTTGAAATAATGTGAAGAATTGTTTTCTAACTTTGAATTGAAGCAGATTTTTAGTTTTACAAAATAGAGAAAAATCAGTAATGAATTTGAAAATGAATCTTTTTATTAAGAAAGATAAAAGCAATGTAGACAAGAGAGAAAGAAGAGAAAATATTACAAAGCATCACAGATTAGTAGAGATTTAAAATGGTCATATTCTGGCATTAATATTGAAAAACAAGATGTCTTTGTTAAATTTTTTTCTTTTAAAAATGTGAAAGATTTAAAATAGAAACAGGTGCATATGATAGACAAAGGAAAAAAAAAGCAAATTCCATACAGAATTACGAGAAAGGAGTGCAAGACAATTCACAGAAGTGATGCATCAAAACAGACAATGTACACAAACGACAAAACTATTCTAACAAGTTGTCTTTGGAATAAGACAAGAATAGCTGACCTTCTCATGCAAAAGACAAATGCAGACAGATACAGAATAACAATATCAAATATAGGAAAATTAATTTTATAAAGGATAATCAGTGATTTTGTTTTCTAAAGAACAAACATTATATAATTTTACGTTGAAAGAAAAAAAATTTAAGGAAAATAAACAAAAACCCCAAAAATCATTCTGATGCTAAAGTGAACAATATACACAGGTACAGTGTAAAAAAAAAATTATTTACCAATTTGATGAAAGCAGGCACACAACATTTTTTTTCCAGGAGAAATCAGTAACAAAAAGTATTTACCCAAGTGAATAAGTCTAGTTAATTTTGTTGCTTTAAAGGTTCAAGGTTTTTAAAAAAACTGAAAATCATTTCACTACAAGGCCACTAAGACACAAGGGGTTATTGGAAGTGAAAGAGAATGTGAAAACTTTAAAAGTAATCAGAAACCCAATCCTAAACAGGAAACAAGGGATAAACCTCTACCTGTCCCATTTTGTGTGTGTGTGTGTGTGTGTATATATATATATATGCACAAACACAAAGGAACAAAAAGTAGAATCATAACTAAAGAAAATTCATGAATATATAAAATTATTCATATTTATAAATATTTTTAACATCTACAGTTTTGTATTGTGTTGTATATTTCTGACACCAGGTTCAGAATAAAATTATGTTCCATGAATAAGAATAAAAATACCACTGGTAATGTTCTACTGAAGAAAGTTCTAAGAACAGAAAATTGTTAAAATATTAATAAGTGCTTTACAATCAAGTAAATAATTGTAGGAAAATCTTATAAAAATAATATATAAATAATTGTGGGAAAATCTTATAAAAATAATATATAAAGAATAGTCTGTTAAATTGTTAATATTGACAATGCTCTATCTTGAAGATAAACTCCAAGAAGAAATTTTGTCAATCTTATAAAATTAGGTTGCATCCAGATTAAAAGATAGTGGGTAAAGGGGAGTAGTCACAGTATACAGCTGTTATACACACAGTTTAAATTAAAGATTAGTCATGCTAGTTTTGGTATAAAGATGCAAACAATGAACACAATACAAAGAACGATGGAGACAAGATAATGGCTGAAATCAAAGTGGTATATGTGGCAGGCTGAGAAAAATAATGGAAAGCAGGACAAAACGCATGGCAGTACATTGAAACTCACCCTCACCAGAAGGTTTGCCAGGGGGATGTAGATGAGGCGGTACACTGCAAGGTGGTGGTGGAGGGGGCGGGGGAGTTTGTACAGACTGCCTTTTGCAATGCCATTTCAATTCTAAAAAGTATTAGTGAAACTCAGTTAGCATTTCAATATTCAAAACAAAAGAACTTGGTGGGGAGTAATTCAGAGGGACAGGAAGTGAAACCAAAGTAAAAAAAATACAATATCAAGATACTTTATGGAATATATATAAGAAATTAATATCACCCAAAACATACACAGCAACAATAATGTACACTTTGTTTAGGGGCTTCAAAGAAAGTTAGGTAAAATTTAACAAAACCAAACTGGAATCTTCAAAAACATCACCTTGACAACAGAACATAGATATTAAGACAAATGGGAACAATTCTCAAATTTATATATTTGATATAAATTTTAAGTAATCTTGATATCCATTAAACAATTTTTTTTTGTAAAAGTCAAATTCGAACACTAGTCATTTATGTTGGTGGCAAATAAGTAACTACCTCACTGATCAAGTCAGTTCTTTCAGCAAAGCTATATAGAAGATTACACAGGGAAAAAGTCTTCTTAGTTATCATTTAAAGATCTACTCAAACTGTTGAACTTGTTCTTTTTGTTATTACAAATGATCCATTCTATAGGAAAGTCATTTTTTGAGTGGACCATTCACAGCCCATAGTAATAATTTATGAAGAGTCTTAAAACAATTGTTCTCTCAATTATTGCCTCAGACATCTTATTGTAATAGGTTGGGTCTATTTGAGGGTACAAAACCATGCTCAACCAGTTCACCAGTTTATTTTTGGCTGGCTCCATCAAAAAATGAAGTCATAAGGTGGCAATATTTTTACACCGAGTAATTTTTGTAAATGTATTTTTGTTTTATTCATACTGGTTCAAGTTTGAATCTGCAAGTAAAAGACTTTTCAAGTACTCATTTTTTTTTTTTTTTTTTTAAATAGTCTTAAAGCAAATTGAAAAAAAAAAAAAAAAAAAAAAATTATTCATTATCATATACAATTGATTTTCTTTCTTATAATAACTAATTTTTTTTCATTTGCAACTATTTTGCTTTCATTAAATAAAACCATAAAAGTTTGTTTTTCCCTTTTTCATCTCTGTTCATATAGACTCCCCCCCTTACAGGTTCAAGGTCGGATTTTTTACTCATAGTTAATATAAAGAGACAGGGAGAGGGAGAAAACAAAAAACAAATGGAGAAATCTGCAGAATAGAAAACAAAAAACCATTCAAAACTTGGATGAAAGAATATTTTGAAAGCAATTTTCATGCCTTACCAGTTTTATTTTCCTCCTCATCACTTTCTTCCAATCCAAATTCTTGCCTCAACCTTTCTGTTAAGCTCATTGGTTTCTCAGGCCATCTGCTTTCTGTTTTTTTCTCTCGATGTTCAACTACAGTAAAAAATGTTTATTAAAAAATTTGACTATATTTTTACGGTCCATAAATTGTTCCTTTTAATCAATTCACATTTAGAGTAAAAAAAGAAAAGAAAAAAAAAAAAGAAAAAAAAAAAAAGAGGCTAAATTTCCATTTCTTCTAATGCAAACATTTACTAACAAAATACAATTACACAATGGATTATATAATTTTTTTTTTATAATAATGACAACACTACTTACCTCACTTTTGTATATAAATAATTTGTGGAATGTAACAATTTATTTTGATTGTAATGATACATAAAGTTAAAAAAGAAAAAAATATGAACATTATATAGAAGTTTTACCAACAAAAGTACGAAAACCTTTCAGTTAAAGTAGCCAAAACTGGTCGGTGCCTAAAATTATTCTAAATGCACCATTAAGATTTAATACCTGTGAAAAAAAAAAAAAAAAAAAAACCCAAAAAATCCCAACTTTTTCTTGTTATTTTACATTTGGGTAAAAGTTTTATTTATATATATATATATATATATATATATATATATATATAAAAAAAAAAAGAAAGGTAAACCCAGATAAAACTTTTTCCTTTCAGACATATCATTATGTTTGATGCAGCTCTACTGTAGGTACATATCCCAGTCAGTATTTTATATATCTAAGGGAGAGTAGACTGATGTGTGTGTTGTAAGAGTAAAATGATAAAATCCAGTTCATAAGGAGTCAAGATGATCTGTATGTTGCTAAACCACCCATAAAACATCTCGGTAAAGTATGGGAAAGGGCTGAGATCATATTTTTATATTTATTCTTTTTCCTCAAAAAATTTGCCCTTTGAACATGGTATGTGTCTTTGATGCTGGCAAATATAGTAAATTAATTTAATTATTTGTTGCTGTGAAACATTCTATTTGCTGATTTTAAGGAGTCAAAAATGTTTCCTGAATAGCAACAGTGATGTTTGTTGAAATCTGCTAAACATCAAAGCAAATTATGCATATAAATAATATAAACATATCCTTATTTGTTTATAGTTTCATAGACAAATTAATAGCATTTTAAATTTCACAATATATAGTTTATTAAAGATACAAGGAAATACTTATTACTAAAGCCTGAAAAGAAGCACACAAAGACCTAATTACTGAAAAAAAGAAAGAAAATTAGGGAAAGTCACTTACTTTTGACTTCTGTTTGGTCATTTTCTTTGGCTGGACTGACAGGCTCCACAAAAAGAGGCAGCACAGCCAGTGTAGGAGCTTTATCTGCAGGGACTGGGGTAGAGATTGCAGTGATAGTCTTCCCTTGGGAACACACAGGTGAGGCAGGGGGATCTTTCTTTTCTTTTAATCTTTTTCTATACTCAAGTAAACTAACCTGTAGCAGCAACAAAAAGAGGTAGAAAAAAAATATATCAATCATTTTTATAGGATGAAAAAGGAGAACATATGCTATATAAAAAAGAAAGGAAAAAAAAAGGGGTGGGGGAGTTCTCCACAATCAGTTAAAATCTCATTACATCAAATGAGATTAAAAAGAAATAAAAAAATTAGTTAATGTTAATTTCTAAGGATTTCACTATTCTTTTTCTTTTAGATAATGCTAATAGAGTTTATAATCTGTAAAGGAAATAGATTTCTTTTCCCAACATTTCTTAGTTCACACTTAAACCAACAAATGTTTAAAAAGTCAAAAATGTTTAATGATGATAATTATGATAATGATTAAGTTGATCCATAAGTAATAAAAAGACAATCATTAAATTCCCCGAGATAAGGAATTTCTCAGGAAAGATTAGAAGTGGTTTAGAAAACGGTGGGTGGGCGTTGGAATTCGATGTAGAATTTTAGCTATAAGGGAGACAACTACTGTTATATAAATATTCACACCAAGGGAGATAACTCTACACAAATTCCAATCTGAATGGAATGCGAATTTAAAAGCTGGCTTGAAATGGTTCAAAGTTAATGAGGAAAAATAAGACTGATTAAACATGGAGCCTGATATGGCATTATGTTTATGTATGTATTAATATCTAAAGCAGTGGCCTCAGCCTTTTTGCGCCATAGACCAGGGGCTGCCAGTGTTGGTCACATGCATAGCAAAATACAGTAAGACCATGATAGTTAAAAAAAAAAAAAAAAAAAGATTTATTCTGTGTAGCCCATTTAACAAATGGCTCATGGCCCGGTGGCTGAGGACCACTGAAATATAAAGCATACTAATAGACTAATAAAGATGATCAACATCTTCCCTTTTTTCCATGCTGCATTAGAAATAAGTTAGTGTATTTCTACTTATAGTTGCAAAATTAAAATATTTTCAATATCAACTAAAATTGTGGGTGCCCTGTTATGCTGTAATGATCAAGGTAGAATTTTAGAAAATTAGTAGTGAGTTAGCCCCCTCAATGGGTGTTCCATAATTATAGCTTAGTGCAAAACTGAGCTTAGTAAATAAGAACTAGAATGTAAAAAATTCCAATTTTCATTGATATGAAAATAAAAGATTTAAATAGCCTTCCCCTCAAAATTACTCTCTAATACTGGTTAAAAACAGTGTACAATAATATAACTAGCTAAAATATTCCATTTTAGAAAAATTTCTCAATCTAAAATATATATTCTTGGCTAGAAGCTTTCTTTGAAATGAAACCAGGTATGAATTTGAAGTTTTGAATTCAAAATATCATGTACACTTGGAATAAATATTAACTGACTGTTGAATTCCATTGAGGTGCCTAAGAGAAATCACCAAATGACAGCACATGTAAATAAATCAAGCTTCAACTGACATTGCTTCACCCCTTAAAAGAAAAAGAGAATTTATACTAGTAAATCAGGTAGGCATGTTAAAAACAAGCATACCTTATTTACTATTATCTCAGAAATATACACAACAAATATACATCCATTAAGATGGTTCCTTAGTCAAGATTAGAATGTTATAGTTAGCATTGTTTGACAAGAGTCAAATGAGAGTAGGAAGATATTGAATTATTCATCCAAGTGGAGAGAGAGAGCTTGTCTATTTTGTGAAATAACATTTGAAATGCTAGCTTTACCTGGATTCAACCACTGACTATTAAAGCTAGTCCAACTATGTCACTTACCAAATTGACACATTACTAAAGATATTTATAACAGACAACTGATTTTTCCATAATTATTATTCTGCATTTTTTGTATGTATGACCACTACACTTTTCTACTAAAGATCAGTGTACCCACTGAGCTGGAATCGCTTACACATTTTAAATGAGAAATCAACATATTAAACAGAGAAAAAAATTGAGAAAAGTGCAGAAGAGGATATGGGTGAAAGGGAAAAAAAAACAAAAACAGAAAACCAAAAGTGTAAAGTTTCTAAATTATAAAATCGTCAGACTATATACAATCACATGTAATTTTTGGCAATAAAGATTCAATTAAAAAAAATAAAATAATATAACAATAGGCATGGTTTTTTTCCCACAGAAAGGAAAGAAAACATTTTTAAATACGTCTTGTTTTCCTGCCAGTCAGTAACTGACTGATAGCCATATTTTCAATACAAAGTGAAAAAAGACTCAACAAAACAATTCCATCATCTACATTATCAAATTGGTAAATATTTTAAATTGCTTCATTTCTTTTAAACATTACCTAAGGACAGTTTTCTTAATCAGGACTCAGAGTGAAAAATGTCAAGTGATAACATTCTAGAATCTACTTATGTCAAAATTTGTATAGTTGTTAGTGTAATAGTTATTGGCATGGAAAGTGGAACCAGTGAGCCAAGTTCAAATTTCAACATAGTCCATTTTCACTTTTGCATTAATGCCTTTAGGAAAAAAACTATATATGTGTGTGTGCATAAGAAAAAATTAAAAAATAAGATAAAATGACAATATAAAACTAAAGTTTCACAGTCAATATAGTAATAGCTTTATGCAACACCCTCAATAGTAACTGCCAAATAGGCAACATTGTTTACTAAGCTATTATTAACTTTGAAGGACACCAAAATAAAGTTGATATATGGATCGAAATGAGAGCCAGTTAAGCACACTCCACATCAAAAAAAAAAAAAAAAAAAGTCAAATTTTATGAGTGTTTGAATTATGGAGGTGGCCATGAAGAAATATTACTAAAAATCATTGAAGAATTTTATTTCAATGACAATCATTATGATCCAATAAAAACTTTTTTTTGCTCAAAAGCTAAGAAGTTATACTGACACTAGTAAAAATTTAAACCTGGAAATCTACAAGCATGAAAATAGCTTTCAAATTAAGAAACAAGATACAGCACATTTTCCATGGCCAAAGTGGTTTCAGTTAACATGTAAATAGCAATAATAATAACTCCTCATCCCAGAAATTCAAACAATGTTTCATTTAATGTTGAAGGCTTTCAAGAAATTGTTAGAATTGTAAACATTTTTCCCTTTGTAGAAAATACTTGTAATAGTTGAAATAAAACAATAAAATCATTTTTTTTTTTTAACATACTTTCAAGATGCATAATCATATCCGGATTGGGATACTATAAGGGTCAGAGCACAGACAGGGTTAAAATGTGTCAATGTATGATGACAGAAAAATAAGAAATAAGTTTTGAGGGATTATTTTTTATAACTTCTTGTGGATCCTTTAATCTCTTTATTGTCTAAATTTTCATTGTTGTTGAAAAGCTGGGTTCCTTAAAAGTTATGGTGGGCAAAGTCCTGGTGACAGATCATTTGTACAAGTACTAAACAGAATAAAGTTTGTTAAAATCTACTTCTCCTGTTTTTGTTTCCTTCTGTCCATTGTCTAGGTGATCAAGATGCCCTAAATTGTCACTTATAACGTATTACCTTAACCAACAATATCAACAAGGTACCTGTGATTATTATGTTAGCATATTCTATTCCCAAACCATCACTAACCAACAGATACATTGCCTATAGATGTAAGCATATATATATAATACAGGTAATAGATCCACTGGTATACAGTCCAGGTGGATCCTAGTAATATCAGATTAAAACTGATTCAGAGAGAGAGAGAGCTCAATGTATTTATTATAACAGAGCATATATTTTACACAGCAAAAAATCCCAAATTACCTCATGCAGGTATAGTCTATTTCAGACCAGCACAACCATATGCCAGTCCTCCTCAGCTCTATAAATATATATATAGAGTTTTAAGATATGCAATAATTATGGGTTAAAGTGCTCAATATCGGGGATAGAGCATATGTAAATATAAAAGTGAACACAGATATCAACACCCAGCTTAAGCACAATCTTCAAGCCTGTTTCTTATTACTATGTAATTTTAGTGGGTACACTTATTTGAGTTACTGTCTCCATTTTATTACATTAAACAGTGAAACAACTGATCTAGATTGAGAAAGACTATGCCGTTGACTGGTATCAAACCTGTATCCCTTTTTCATTAGGGAATCCATTTCTATAGCTGAAATGTGCCTTTACCTGTTTGGCCAGAGAGCAAGGTTTGAATTACCTATTTAAGAAATGCACATTTTTATAGAAATGGTTTCCCTGATGAAAAAGAGATACTGGTTCGATTCCTGTCAGAGGCATAATCTTTTTTGAGTAGGACTTTTCAATAATGATGGATGAAAAATTAATTAAAAAAATACAGTTTAGAATTTGGGTACGACACTGAAGCTAATATTTTAGCACTAAGCTTTTAAAAGCATTTTTTTTTTTTAACATATGTTCAGGTATATAGCCTAGTCCACATCATTTAGTTTCATTTTGGTTTTATCACTTTTGCGATTAAATATCCCACATTGTGACAATAGAAGATCCGCCAAAGAAAGTGAAATGTAAGAACTAAGATGCAAATTTACTGTGGATGGTTTAGCAATTAAAGCACTTTCTATACACTTTTGTTTTAGTAAATTGTTCTCCCTTAATTAAAGTAGCATTTAAAAAAATATCAAAATTATGGTCAGATTTATTACAGTGAGCAACTTATGCATTTATCATTTTATAAAAGATCCCTTTTGTATTCATATAATCTTTTATTTAAATTCCTCAAGGTTTTTTCCTATGTATTCTTTGTGGCAATTATTTCAGGTGACAGAGTAAATTCCAACTTCAAGTTTTAGCATTATTATTTTGTTTTGTATTAATTAAGTCTTTTACTGTGGTAAAAGTAGCTGTAACAAATTATGTTAAACTTAGATAAATTTTTTTCATTTGTTGTTTTGATGGAGTTGGTAGGTAGAGTAATGTATTTTGATTCATTGGATTTGCTGAATAGTCTACTATTCTATTGAAATATTTTACAAGCCTTTTGTAGATGAATTCATTGAGGCTATTACAGGAGCTTAAAAGTATTTTTAATGTATTTTTCCATTTCATATAAATATTGAGGATTATGAATTTTGAGTGATCTTAAATAGAATCCTTTAAATTATCCTGGATTTTATTTATTTTGTTGTTATATTGAGAATAGAAATTTGATATAATTTTTATTAGTTGATTTGTGGTGAATGCTTTGTTTTAGGTTATTGTCAGTATGGTGTAGCATAATATCTAGAAAAGGTAGTGTTATTATTGGTTTCTGTTTCATAAGCATTTGTCAACAGGAACGTTGATGTAAAGGGATTTAATTTCTAAACTAGACACAAATTTATCTGTCATATTTATTCCCCTTAGTTTTTTGACTGGGTTGTCTGAATTTAATGTTCTGATTGTTCCAAAGGGAGTTGTTAAAATTTTTGTTATGGCCCTCACCAGTTTGTGGGGTGTGCTAAAAATAAAAACAAACAAAAACTAAATTAAATTGGCTAGATTATATACCCAAACAGAATAAATTTAATTTAAAAGTTTAAGATTTCAGTATCCCCTCTGCTTTGTGAGAATGTGTAGTTACATTAATGTAAACATCACTTTAGCCTAAATTTTTAACGAGAAAATAAAGTCAATTGCTGATTCCTCCTGACGAGTGGATGGAGCAATTACCGGAGGGTCAGTCTACAAAACTCTAAATTTGATGCTGAAGATAATATCAATTAGCTTAGTGACAAATTTTACATTTGTATTAACCAAATGTGTGTGTGTGTACGCATGTGTTTAAACATTAATCCTCCCAACTTCAACTTTTGCAGATGATTTCTGTTCATTAAAGAGTTTGATAGTTCAACTGAATTTATTAACAGATGTTATATATGCACCATAAAAAAAATGATTTTTTTTTTTATGTTAACTTATTTAAAATTTATTCTTTCTTAAGGATGTTATTGCATGACATAATTTGTTATATAATGTTTTTCTGTCATGGATAGGAACTTATATAAAGAAAATCTTAAATACAGTAATGATTTCTAACTCTTTTTTTGGATACCATTTCATTTTATTGGCAAAATAATCTTTGAGTTTGTGCATATATATAAACTTTGCTATTAAATTAGCTACCCTCCATAACAGATTTATGTAATTTAAAAAAAAGCAGAAAAGTTAAGTGCCATAGCAACTGACAGTGAGTAATCTTAATTGCAATGATTTTAAGTAAATGGTTCAACTTGTGTGAAATTTATAAATTTGATTTTGGAATAAAAAAGTATTTTAGAGAAATACAAATTCATCATAAATTCTGAGTCATGTCAGTATTTACTAATATGTACAATTAAGGAAAACAATTCAATTTTAATGTAAATTGGGGAAAAAAAAATTAATATCTTGCTAATACATTTGTTTACTGCCATGCATGAAAACTGTTAGCTTTGTACTGTAGACAAAGCAACATGTCTTATGATAGTCTGATATTCTTTGGCAAGATGCCATCAGCACATTATGGAAATTTTCATATTTACTTTGGTAATATGAGAGTGATTGACACCCCCCCACCCAACAAATTGTACCTTATGTGTAGATTTGTTTGAGAGATTTCACATTCACTTAAATTGTTAGAATATTCTAATTCTTTATACATATTCATTTTATTAGATGTTCTGCTTTTACAAATTAGTTAATTTGTATGAAGAGAAAATAATTTCAAATATACAATGAATAATTTCTATTTTTTATCAATTTTCGTTAGAAAAACCAGACACAGCAGTTGTACTTAAAAAATATACATGGCAGCAAACAAGTTAAACAAAGGAGATTTAAAACATTACAAACTATCATATTTTGTCAAATGACTATATATATATATATATATATATATATATATAAATAAATAAATACTTATTCATGTATAGCATATACACAAATCTTACAGCAAAATATAGTTTTAAGCTTATACTAGTTTCCAAGCTGCATCTAATTTATTTTTAAATAAAAAAATAAGTGAACTTTGTTGTTTTGTTACCCAAGAAAAAGGAAAAGTTTTTAACCTGTGTTCCAAAACCAATAATCTATATGAATATCTGTTTTGTTTTTTAGATCTAGGATCGAGTATAGTATCTGCTGAAATTAGTTACACTTTCTGATGAGAAACCGACATAATACTAAATGTGAAATAAATGCAAGTAGCTGGGGTTGAGAGAGAGAGAGAGAGAGAGAGAGAGAGAGAGAGAGAGAGAGAGAGAGAGAAAAAGAAAAAAACCTGGTGAAAAGAAGTGTTGGAAAGGACAAATAATCACAAAACCCTACATGTATGCACATCTGCACAGATAAGTGCAGACACACACATGCACACTATGAAAGAAAAGAAAAACTAGCACCAATGATAAATGTAAATAAAAAAGAAAAATTGAGAAGTATAAGCAGTCAATGGCTGATACCACCTGACAAGTGGATGGATGGGTCAGTCTACGAAACTATGGAGCTGGAATGTTGGAGGTAACACCAATCAGCTAAGTGACAAACCTTTTAGTTGTGTTAATTATATAACACACACACATAAACACTTACACAATACCAAGAGAAGCTCAGCAAAAATGACCCCCCCATCCTATTTAGAAGATTTTTTGTGGTGGTGGTGGCGTGTGTGGAGTCTTGTTTATTTTTTATATGTGTGTGTGTGTGAGTACGCACGCACACACACACACGCACACACACACAATTAGCTGAATTTAAAGAGACATTAAAATTGCTATGTTAAAAATTTATGGAGTTAAGAGTAAGAGAATAAAAGAAAATGCAGCAGAAAACTTTTTGCATATTAAACTAATCCATGTTTGTATGTTTATATAAAAATATATAGATGGGCAATAAAGATTGAAAGGTATAAGGGAGAGAATGAAAAAATACAGGTAAAAGATGAGAAGAAATTGGATATTAATTGCAATCAACAGATGTAGAATTTCCATTGGTCCAGCTAGTCAATTGCTAATCAATTCCAAGTAATATTTTATTAAATAATTTTTTTTTAAGTTTAAAACTAACATAACCAAACTTATATTACCATATGTGCTTTAATTTTACTAATTCAAGAAAATCTGAAGCCAAACAATTTTTTTTTTACATTTTCTACAGGAAATCAATAACTATAGACTTTACTGAATTCAAAATAGGAGCTCAGAAGCATTATTCCACTTTACAAATAACTCAATATAAACTGTTTTCCACTCTTATAATTTAGTTTACTGTAATCTGGGCTGTGGAGTTCAATTTTTCATAACAGATTCTGTAAATTCATCTTTAGCACTCTGCATTATTAATATTACTTCTCTTTTCACTGCATTTTTTTCAAGGCCTTTCAATTGCAGTATCCTTATTGTTAATTTAACTCAAAGGTATTTTCTGTTGCCATAGTAGGATATGACAACACAACTATGAAATTCAAACACATTACTGTTCAGGGATCAGTCAACTTCAGTGGCAGGGTAAACTTTTTGCACAGAAATATGAAGTCACATACAGAGTGATAAAGGTTAACTCTCTTGATTACACAATATTTTTCTCTGCATTATACTTTTAAAGTCAGATAGTTTAATCTTATCTTTTCAGAGACCTTTACCAAAGTATGCAAAAAAAACTTATTAGCTTATTCATTCATATCAAAGGAAACTCCTACATTTATGTCTCACTTCTCGGCTTCCAATTAAGCTATAAATAATTATTATTGCATTGTATTCACTCCCTTTAATTTGGGCCTTGTACTATACCAACTTAGACTTAGTAAATATAGTGAAAATTCAGGAAAACTATCAGCAGCAATAAGTAGAAATAATTCAGGATTGATCAATTGGTATTTTACAGTTTACCAACCTTTTGTAGGTTATTTAAAGCCAGAAAATATTTTTAGATTTTAAGACCTTTAGGGAAATAATGATTTTTACTGATTCAAGTTCTAATTAACCCAAAACTGGAGGGCTCTCCAATTTCCAATTCCAAACCATTATCCATTTCAACATCTGCATATCCAAGCTCAATGTTGCTTAACTTCGGTGAGTGTCCAAAAAATAATTCAAGAATATAATGCCTCTTAATTTGTAAGTAAAGCTAGTAAAATGTAAAGGGTTAAAATATTTCTGTTGATGATCGTTCCTGTGTATTTTTCTTTCCAAAACCTGAAATAGATGCCAAAAATTGCAAACAGAAAATAAAATATATATTCATGTAAAGTAGTGGTTTGAGCCTAAATCCCCGCACTCCGCAACTAACCTTTTTCTTTGAGGGAGTTTTTGCAGGTATAGATTCTAATGCTAAACCAGGAACAGAAACTGCAACTGGGGGAGTGGGAATTGCAGTAGTGTGCACTGTTTCCATTTCAGCTGCAATTGATGGTTGACCATAAGTGGTAACAGCAGACAGAACATCCGTCTCTGATGATGAAACCTCGTTGCGTAGTGAATGGTCTTTTTCGTATGCAGTCATTTTAATGCTAACACACATTTCAGATAAATGTGGAGTATTTGGGGTGGGCTGGTGGCTAGGTGCTCTGATAATAGAGTCTGTATTATTACTGCCACAAGCACTACCACCACCAACTCCATCACTGGTCCGTATTCCCAGTTCGCTGCCTGCTAGAGTAGAAAATTGATTAGAATCTCCTCCTGCAAGAATGTTATTATCAGACTTTAATGCTGATTCTTTGTCCAAAAGAAGGTTCTTAATCTTTCCTGTATCACAAACTGTAGATGTGTCAGCAGAGTCAATCGTCTGTGCACAGTCTACAGAGTTTTCAAAAGTATGTTTTTGGGAATATTCTGAAGAGCTCTTGGCACAAACATCAGTTGCAGGAGCAGCAGAAGCATTCTGACTGCTACTCAGGCATGCAGTCTGTGGCTCTACCAGACTGCTCTCAGCATTCTTTTCTGAAGTAGAAATCTCATCACAGCTCTCATCACTTTTTTCTTTCTTGTGTTCAAATGGGTAGACCTCTGATGAACCATCCTTTTGCTTTTTAAATACATTAGAAAAGTTCGTAAAGACTGGTTGTGCTGATACTAATGTTTTGTGTTTGTAAGTGTCAAAATATCGTGGATCTGTTGCCACTGTTGTTGCTACCTCAACATGAGGTTTTGAAGAGTCTTGGTGCATCATAGTCCACACACAATTTTCAGTCATGTTCTTAGCACTACTTGCAAACTCTTTGGTTTCATACATGACTTCCTCTTTTATAGAACCCTGTTCAGAACGTACAACATTGCTGTCAAGCTGATCCGGATTTTGGTGTTCAGTAGTCTCACTGGCATCCAGCGTCTCGTCATCTTCAAGTTCCAACTTTAAATTCTCAGCAGTTGAATTTGGGAGTTGAGTTGTACCATGCAGCATGAAATTGGTTCTGGAAGCTGCAGCAAATGAGGACACATCGACAGCACTGCATTGCTCTGCAGCAGCAGCCAAGCTCTCAAGACCTTCAGGCCCATTGGTCTCTTCACTGTCGGAGATGCCACGCGTTGAATCACTGCTCACTCCTAAAAATGGCTGTGGCTGTGATTCACAGGTGTCACTTTCAACAGAGTCCCTGAGTTCAGATCCCATTCCAGAATGATGATTTAATTCATTTGTGTTCACCTTGTATTTCTAGAAAAAGAAAAAAAAAAAAAAAAGAACATTAAACACTGCCAAATAACATGCACTTCAAAGTATTCTGTCAAATTTAATTCCTACAATCATTTCTGTAAAGTATCCACAAGCATCCATGTTGATTCTAATGAATGACTGGAAAATACTTTCTCCTCCCCATTTTATAGGCAGACATGCACAAATGCATGCTGGGATTTTTCCTAGCTAATAAAATAGGTTGGGTTTCGGTTTTATCTGACCCAGTCCTGGTCTGTCTTGAAGTCTGAACACTACGTTCACTGGTCTGAACTTGCTTTTGTGTCAACCTCAATTCTAAGTTTGTGAACTTTTTGCTGTGTTACTGTTGCTTTGCCTTATTATTGTTAATTTGCCTTTCATATATTGTTTGCTTGCTTTCTATTTTTTACCTGTTTTTTTTTTTGTTTTTCTTACTTACGGCAAACTTATCAATTCTATTTGTTGGACAGTTCCGTCATTTATTTTACATTTAACCATCAATATTCACTCTACAATCCATTTTAGATTTTATTTTAACCTTAAGAAAAGAGAGCAAAACAAGTGTAAATATTATTATACATCAATCTAGTCAAACATTTCAGCCATTGCATTCTCCAGCCTTCTTTATGTGTCTGCTGTAGTCATTAATCTTCTGGGAATTTAAAATCAAAGCACTTATTTCATTTATATACAATTTTACAATTCTGCTGTCTATGTGAGAGGATATCTTGTTTTTACTCATTCTTTATGATGCCACTTTTTAGTTTTACTAATTATCCAGAATATATGACTTTCACTGCCATGACCATTAACTGAACTTAATAACCAAGTAACTAGTGGAATTTAACCAACACTTATCCACTAGGTCAGTGGTTATTAACCTTTACTCCACCAGTGATCCCATTACAGATATTTGGCACACACTACATTAAAATTTCACTGATAAATAGAAAAGAGTTAATGCCATGTGTTTACATTTTGTTTGCATCATAGCACCAATCACCAGAAGTAAATGAGAGTGAGAACAACTGAGTGGTCACCATATCAGACCACAGAAACATATGGCAATCGCAGCTAAATGGTTAAAATATATCTAGAATTGTAAATAGATAACCAAATGCTGTCTTGGCCCAATCAGGATTCAAAGAGTTAAATCATTTGTTAAATGCCTTAGTACCCTCCCAATGCCTCTGAACACTTACTGCCATGTTTTGAGAGTTCACAGTGCTCCCATTGAGAAGTGACACATTAGGCCACTGTTCCACTTAGGAAAGAACAGATACAAGAATTAAATAAAGAATTAAAGCTACAAAACCCTACCAATTAGCCTACAAGACTAGGCCAAATGAATCCAAGTGATCAAAAATTCAATTCTTTAGCCAGGCAGTGAAAGTCACATACTCTGGTTAAGTGGAATTGGCAAAATTACAGCAGAAAGAAGAATTAACAGAAATGAGATTTCCAAGCACAGTGGAATGGTAAAATTGTATGAAGGGTTTGGTCTTAAATTCTCAGGATGCAAAATATAAAATGTACAATAAAACCAGAGAGTTCAATAAAAGTCATGTGTTGATAACCAAATATATTTGGAATTACTTTCTTTATGTTCGAGGAAAATTATAATTCTACATCATATAAATTTTGTTATTTTGGTTTCAATATTGCAATCAGAATTTTGCATTTATGTAGAAAAACATTTTTTAAATAAAATTTGGAACAAAATCTCAGCTGAAAGCATTTAAAAAAAAAAAAAAAAAAAATCCTGAATGTTATAAAATTAAATTATTCATGAACCAGACACTCCCTGCCTCAAAACTGGTCTATGATAGTTGACCCTAAAATTAGAGTTCTAAAGTCAATAATGTTCCAACAGTTTTAATAACTCTAATTAGATAAATAGTTTTATAAAAGTTTTGATAGTGAATCTAATTTCAAGCTGAATGAAAACATTGATTATTACTGACTGCTAAAATTAGGCTGGTAAGAAAAAGTCTCTAACAATAAAATTAACTTTGATCTCACCTACCCAGCAACTAAAACTTAGACATTATCATATACAATGGAAATAAATTAATACTTTCACTGCTTCATTGTTATAGCCTGGCTGTACTGGTTCATTTTCTAGAAAAAACAAGAAATTACCATTTACTGGAAATAAATAAATATAAAGATGCTGATGGCAGTTTCACATGGGCACTGCCATTTTGGTTTCAATAGGATACCCTGCAGTACTGACTAAGCTAAATGGTAACCCCAACAGATAATATAACAACAAATATGTCACAAAACAGGTTGTAATAAGGCTACTATGAGTCTACAGCGATTTTGAAATAGCACCAAGTGCTAGTTAGTTTATAACACAAACACTAGTGACTGGTATTTCATAGTGTTTTGAAAATATATATGTCAACAGCAGGCAAGGTAAGTTTTATAAAGATGTTAAAGTAATCAGTGGAAGTATTAATGTAAAAGTAAGTTCTTTTATTATTATAATAAATAATAAACAAAGACATACTTCTAAATGCATATCTTCTGATGTAATCTTCAACAGTTGCTGATTAGCTCTAATCTCAGATTCTTCAAAATTTAATGAATAAGCAGATGCTGAAGGTGTATCAAGGTTGGGTATCTGTGATGGTGAAGGTGTGGACGGAGTGGACATGAGTGGTTGCTCAGATGAAAGAGACTCCCGGGCAAATCTTCGTTTCTTCAGTGGAGTGACAAAATCTAAGCAAATAAAATAGAAAGAAAAATATTGGAGCAAATAGGATTCATAATACAGAGAAAAAAAAAATTAATCAAGACAATATATCTTATTGTAAGTAGCTAGAGTTAACTTAATCTGGTAAGTAACAAAGAAGAATTCTATTGTGATGCTTATTGTAGCCTTCACTATTTGATTAAAAACTTTAAATAGTTGAATAAATTCTTTTTGGTATGTTAAAGAGCAAATCCCTCTGCCTGTCACAAGAGTGCATCAATAAGTCCACAGTCTAACAGCCATAATTTTGACTTGAAATTTTCACTGTATAATATTTTATTTAAGTTATTAAATAAGCAAAATATAATAAAAGTAAACATTTGTGGAAAATAAATGTTTTTTCATACCATTGTGCCTACGTTTGTACATACATTTTATAGTTTTTATATGCATTTCACTATGACTTATCCTTACCTGATACATGTAGATAAATTTCCTAGTAAACAATGTAAAGATAATAAGAGGAAATCATTTCATTTTCACAATATGTGATCCCAGAAGAGGTGGTGGGCTATGTGCAGTGACAAAGAATCAGATCATGTTAAAAAATAATTTGTTGCCTAACAAAGGCTTTCTTCAGTCAGTAGGCTATGGATTTACTGATGTGCTTACATTTATGCATAAATTTTTAGTTTGATATTCATTTCTTTCTGACTTTCATCTTTATCTGATATAGAAACAGCTATTTCATTTTCACTATGTGATCTCTGAAGAGTTGATGAGTTATGTGCAGTGACAAGGAATGATATGTTGAAAAATACATACTTGCATAAAATAAATGCATTTTTCTATTATTAGGTTATGTGTGTGTGTATGTATGTGTGTATGTATGTGTGTGTGTTTTACCCCCCCCCATATATAACAATGATAAATACTTGTTCTCATGTTCAAATCAAATAAAAATAAGTAAATGTCTTATTACTGTAATGAAAGATACCGACCTGCTTGAGGAGATGCTCCAGGGCTTGGCATAGAAGTAACAGCATTTGGACTTGCTACATCACAGACCACAGAATTCATGGGTTGTGGGGAATCCTTGCCACTGTCCAAGCCTGATGGGCCGGTTTCATGCATTGCTTGACGTAGCCAACGCTGAAAAGAAACAAAAGAAACAAATTAAAAACAAAACAAAAAAAACAACACAAATAGGAATAAATAATTCACTTGGGACAACCATTACCTTTTTCGCAGATCCAACATTTGAATCCATTTTCCCTAAAGCTGAACTGTGGCTCATTCTCCGCTGAAGGTGCTCCATTGAACTACGTGGACTGTGGAAACAGGTAACAAATGCAGTTTCCTCAACGTTTACCTCCAGCGGCTCAGTCTTGGTAGGTGCTAATACTGTCTTTGTATCTTTGCCCTCAAGCCACTCACTCAACTGCCAAAAGAGAAACAAAGTAAATTGTAAGCATAGGTCAAGTCAACATTAAAATTGTTATTCTTGTCAATTCATAAACAAAGATAAAACAAAACAAGTTTTACATGCAGACCATAAACAAATAATTAACCCAGCATACATGTATGTACAAAAATACAGGTAAGATAGCTCATCACACACACACAATCTTATGCAAGTTAGTGCTTTCACAATAAAATAGGTATTAATTAGTGTTACAGAATGTGATGGCCAGGGTCAGAGTGGTCAGCAATTGGCCGGAGTGGCTTGTGGGTGGGGCATTCTGACAGGGATGGATTGCCTTTATCTGGATTTAGAATATGTTGAAAATGGCATGAATCCAACAAAGGGGACTTGAGAATTCTAATGCATTGATATGCCTCCCACATCCAAGTTTGTGACCAGCTAATGCCACCTGCAGAAGGACGCTAAGCCAAATTGCGACATGCATTCCTGTCAGTTCTACTACTGCCTTTTAGAATCCAGGCTGCCAGAGTTAATAAAACAAATACCAAAATTAAATGGCCCTTTTCATTGATAGTATTCTTATTAGTAGTGTGGGGAGCCAGAGATGATATAGAACTCAACACCAGCTGATGCTAAAACTTTCTGGATATGTTTATATGAAGAATAGAACATTTGTAATTTCTGCTTACAAGAAACATTTACAACAACTTATTTGCCATCAGAAAGATATAACCCCACAAGAGAAACAAGATATTCCAAAGTTGAGTTTTAGGAACACAACATTGGAAATTGAAAAAAAATTGAAGAGACATCAAAGAACTAAAAAACAAATTGGAAACACTGGCAAATTTAAAAAAAAAAGGGGGGGGTTAAGAACGTTTAAAGTGATTTGAGAAAAATTAAAAAGGTAATGTGCAAGAAAAGTGAAATGGTCCACCAGAAAACTATCATCTTTAAGTAAACATATAAGTTGAGCAAAAAAAAAAAAATGTACAAAAATGAATTTCTCAACTAACATTTTTAGCAATAAAAATGGGCTGAACTTGAGAGTAGGGCTAGAGGTTGGGTCCTTCATGGAAATAGTCAAGCAATGATTTAGAAGACAACAATGAGAAAGTGAAGTAATATTTTGGAGTTGTATGACAGGCAGTAAAATTCTAGATCCCTTCAAGATGATTAAAGTTAGAGATAAATACAGAGAATTATGGTAAGTTCTTGTACAAGATGTTTTTTGAGGAGTACAGGCCACAACCAAGAAGCTTTAAGCTAAAGAGTATATGCATGTAAAGTAACGATTCTTTGCATTACGCAAAGCTGACTATTGACCACCTTGCCAAAAACGTTTTCAGTGGAATTGCTCCCAGCCTTTCCAGATTAATCCAATAGAAAACCTTTATTAACAATATTGGACTGAAATTGTTATGCTATAGCAGAAAATGTTTTAAGCAATATTAAATTTCATTATAAATTTAACGTTACACTCAATGCAATGATATCAGATATGAATAAGAATATATTTAACGTCAAATATAAATAAAGTTCTTTACAATATTGCAGCAGCTTCAGTATAATTAGTAGCTGGAATATAAAAGATGAAAGCTGTCAGATTAATAATGTCGCTTGTGGATCTATCTTAAAATTACCTGTAACAGAAAATTGAAGTGTAATTGGATTAAATATGTATTGCTATATTTTGTTTTATTTCTTTCATTATCTTTAAAAACACAAAAATACTAACAACAATTAGCAACCAACATTCAATAAACACTTGATTTAAATGATGAATTGTTTTTGCCTAGAATTCATTTAAATAAAAGAACAAAAAATATTAAAACTTAAAAGGCCTGGAAAAAAGTTTAAAGAGAAAGGAGATAAAAACTGAAAGAAATAAAAAGAAACCAAGTAAGCTAGAATAGTATAAAACCTGAAAGGAGAAGCTGATATAGTGATGTTAAAAAAAGGGGGGGGACAAAAGGGGGAAAGAAGGAAACAGGAAAAGAAAAAAAGAAAAGGGAATAATGGGGGGAAAAAAAGAATGGAAAAAAAGAATGGAAAAAAAAAAAAAAAGAAAATGGAAAAGAAAAGAAAAAAGTTTACCTTTTTTGTTTTGAACTTGAAACCAGATGGAGTGTTTGAATTATCACCTAATTGGCTTGTAGTTTGAGAAGCAGGTTGTGTTGTTTGTTGCTGCTGTGGCTGTGGAGTTGGTATTGACTGTGTAGGAAGTGTAGATGCTGTAGTTTGCACAACTGCCACAGTAGTTGGTGTGGTTACAACACTCGTCTGCAGTGTTGAAACCTGTCCTGCAGGGACCACTGCTGGTGAAGAGGGGACCACTGTTGCCACCGAAGATGGAAGAACTGGTTGACTGCTACCAAGATTACTGCTCTCATCTTGTGATAATGTTGCTTCTGAACAACTACCACCACTGTTTACTCGACTGCGCCTGGGAAAACAGAAACATCATACATAAACAAGTATTGAGCACCTTGAGGCGGTGTAATGGTTAGCAAGCTTGTCTCACTAGAACAATTACGACTAGAGAGTTCAATCCTCACTGGGTGCCCCCTACTTTTGGCCTTGTGCTGCATCTAAGCTATGCTTGGAAAAATCACTACATAAACAAGTATTGTACATTTAAGTTTAGAAATTAAGTTTTCTATTTACATTAAAAGGAATTTGAACAGTTTACCCTTTTGATGGTAAAAAGTAATGTGATGTTTAAATATAGCATACAAATACAGAATTAATTGCAATCACATTGAGGTGGGTTACTGAGACTATTATCACTGGAGCATGTCATGGAATTAGCTTACACTTTACCTTTGATTATAAATATTTTATCAACCAAATATTACATTGAATGTATAGTTTCATTTGAGTGCAGTAAAGTGATATTCAAATCTCTTAATTGATTTATTTGTTTTTATGGCTTTATCAACCTTTTGCAGGTTAAAGTCAGAAAATTTGTTTTAGATTTTTTTTTTTTTTTTTTGAGATAATAATCATTTACTGATACAAATCAGACTAATTAACTCATAGTTTTGGTGGACAAGTGGTGGATTCATACCTTTCCCAAGGGTATTTGTATATAAGTAAATATAATGAACCCAACTGTAATTGGAACTATCCAAATTCAAATTCTGTGCAGCTATCTATTACATAACCTGAACATCCAACATTACAGCAAGTAGCATTCCCAAGCAGTCGGTCACCCATCTAGGTACTAACCAGGTTCGACATTGTTTAACTTTGATGATCATATGAGAAACAGTGTTTCAAAATGACTGGATTGTAAGCCAAAAATCTCTCAAATGACCTATTCTCAATAAAAAATGTAGACTATTAATGAAAATTCTCAAATGCCTAAGACATAATCAGAAAAGCATGCAATTGTATAAAAAACAAAAAGGCACTTATCTTTCCCTGAGTGAAAGATGCTCTGCTCTTAAATCAATTATATAATATAGCAGTGAGAAACAACTTTTATATATAAAATACCATATAGATTTCCTCCATTGAAAAACTAAATGCTATCAAGTGTAATGTTTGAAATAATAAATGTAACATTACTTGTCAAGAAAATATTTACTGTATATACATGAGTATAGCTTTTAGTATTAGTTTTTACTCGCACACACACACAAAAAACAAAAAAGTTTCACCATATATGTAATTTTAATATGTAAGGTTAATCATTCATTTTTGATGACCAGTTGCACTATATGTAGGTAAACTTTTTCTGTATGGGTTAAAATTTATGCAAAAATAGTTCAGGCGACTCATACAAGAGTATATATGATATGCAGATTTTAGATCAAGATCATTCAGCAGTGAAATCTAAAATGGTTAAAAACGTAACTCTGGCTTACCTTCTTGTTGATATTGAATGACTTTTCTTCTTTTTTCTGATAAAAAATAAATAGATAAGCAGCTTATTTTTAATACCATCAAAATTTCATCAGAGGTTGAACAGTTTTAATAAAACAAAATGTAATGTATAAATAAAATAACTAAAATAAGAATTTTTCAATCAATCTGATGTGAATTTAAAAATTATTTTCTTTACTACGTGTTTGCCCAATTGGGTTGTAATCAGAACAAATAAACTGGACTTATAATCAACTTGAGTAATAACTGATTAATAGTTGTACACATTAATCTATCAACTGAGACTATATTATCTTGTATATTTCTTGTATATTCATATATGTTTGGAACATACTATTGTAATAAAACAGACATATAAAATAAGTGAATCCTGCCTTGATTTGAAAATTTTGATATAACAAAGCTAGTGATATATTCCCGATATCAGTGTGCTGCTTGAGCAGCATGATAAAATTAGCTTGCAAAGACTAAGTTAGGCAGCTGATCCTAAGCAAAATGCAACTAGCCGTTTTTGTTAGAGAAACACTTCTAATATTAAGGACTTAAAATCTGATGTCATTTTTGAGAGTGTAGGTAAACTAAAATTAAAATAAACATTAGCATGATGGCTCTATTCAAGGTTTGGCAACAACTCTTGGTTTCTTATATCCTTATGATTAATTTAAAAAAATAAAAAAATGTTCTAGGTTATTAATTCTTAAAAATAACATTTGAATATTAAAATTCAACAATGTATTACACTTGTTATAAGAGGAATGCGAGAGAAAAAAATGTAGTGGAAATAAAGTATCTACTTACTTTATACTTAGAGGCTTGCAAGTTGGATGGAGCTCAGGTTTAACTTCTTTTGCTTCTACCTTTTCATCATCTTCAGGAGAATCCTGTAAAGATCAATGAAACAAAAGAGAAAAAGACAAAACAGATTTTATTAGAAAGAAGAAATACAATCAAATAAAATAAAAAAAATAAAAATCAAGGTTACATATACAAGACTGTGCCTTGTCTATAAGACAGAGATGAAGGCTAACAGTAACAATTGTATATATATATATATATATATATATATATATATATATATATATATATATATATATTATATTATATACACACAATATTTAATTCATGACATTATTTAAAAGGAAAAATGTAGTGAAATATTTGCTGTAAATATCAAAGTACATGTGATTTTTTTGAAAGAGAGAGAGATTCTATAAAAATGATATATCTTAATCTGGTAATGACAAAACTGTCTCAAAGGTTAAGTGCAACAGCTTTTTACTGTTACAAATGACTAAATATTAAGGCAGTTATGGGTTCAACTAAATGGTTCACTTAGTTTCCTTGCCAACCACCATGGCATTGCAAGGTAAGGGACAAATTTTGTAAAGATATCTACTGATGGGACAGAATGAAGGGGTGTGGATTCATGTGCTTTACAAGAATCTTAGTGAGTAAATGAATGACAAGATGAAAAATTTTATGTTATGTGTTTTGTCTTTCAAAATAACTTCAAACCAAATGTTTCTATTGATAGAATTATAATGGAGAGGGGGAGGCTGAGAGAGAGAGAGAGAGAGAGAGTGAAAGAAATACAAACACCTGGCAGTCTTAGTGCAAAGTATACACAAAGTCTCAACCAAAATTCAGTGTGTGTGTGTGTGTGTGTGTGTGTGTGTGTGTGTGACTGACTTCTCACCTCTAAGTATATGTTTCCATGCCCCTGAAGAGAAAACCAAAAATTCTAACCCCTACATATCATGGGACAATGCACACCCCTGTCACCGCATAATGCTAAGTACTTCTGATTAGTTGTCAGGTATGTTGAGAAAAAAAAAAAATTGATGTATTATTGAGACAATGATTTCAAAAATGATTATTACATTATAAATGACAAATTACCATCTGAAACAGAAAGTAAAAGTTACAATTTAAGAATATCAACTGACGTGTTTTCATGAAACACTGAGTTTATTAATGTTTTCAGTAGCATTGACAGTGGGTTCATCTTAAAACTAATAATCTATAACCACAACAGTAATTGCCTTAATAGTGTGGCTCATCTTGTAGATAAAATTGAAATGTCAGTCATAATATATGAAAGAGTACTGAAAAGTTCAACATGATTAAAAAAAATTAAAATAATTATCCCTAATAGAAATAATTCATGAACTGAACATACTCACTTTTTTCTTTTCTTCCTGGTTTTTCCGAGCAATTTCTAACCGGGCTAAAGCTTCTTTTCGTCTCTCTTCTCGCTTTTCTAATTTTTCAAAAGCTTTCACAATAGCTTCCATTTTCCTTTCCTCTCTGGTCTATAAAAACAAGAATATACACATATAAAATAAAACAAGATACAATGTAATGTGGGCATATTTATTGTAAAATGCATCTACATTATTTTGTATTCAGTTTCTTTCAGGCACCTTGAGAAAACCAATTTAAGATGCCCTGTAGCAAGAGATTGCCAGTGATGGTTTCCAACACTAATCCATAATCTCAGATGTTATAGTTTGCAATTGAAGATTATTAAAAGAAGTTGGCTCCCAAAAACGAATTTCAAATATTGTGTTCTTAAATGTAAAATTAAAACAATAAGTGACAAATTACCTACCATTAGATGAACGATATACCTAATCCTTATCATCACCATCATCAGCCCTATGACAAGGTGTGATTGTAGGGGTCACTGTATAGTTGAGCACCCACCTAGTTCCCTCCACATATCTGGGTTGAAAGCCAAAGGACGTATGCATTCATGTGTGGTATATCTTGAGCAAGCTGACTTGGTGGAACCTATCCATGCTCAGTTCAAACCACAATCAATGTCCTCCAACTTGAAGGCTTGCCCTGGTCATGGACACACATCTGCTCAGTGATGTATCATCATCACTGGCTGCATACATAACTATGCAGCAAAATCTACCTTATTGTGCTAGATAGCTACTGACCCCTACAAGAAGGTTCATCTACCTTTTGACAGGTCTTGTTTTTTAATCCTGCTGGGTGTCTAGCAATCCTCCTCACTAGAAAAGTCTGGTGAGAGAAATGGTTTAGTTACCAATGACCTGACCATGTGACAAGTTGACTGGGTTACATGTTACCAGCAGCAGTTGTAAAGTGACCTGATTTAATTATATCAGTATTGTTATATCATCATAATAAAAAGGATTGCTTATCTAATGAAGTACTTATAACTTAGCAGATAAATTAGTTAAGTATTTAACTGACCAAACTGCGAAGGAAAGAGTATTTAAATGCTGGTCAAATATTCATTGCAGTTAATATTATATTGTAATCAATCTAGTCAAGAAAACATGCAAAAACTTTAAATTGGAAAAAGTGTCTGAGCAGCAAAAAAAAAATTCAAGATGATATGAACTTACCATTTTTCTTGGAGGCTCTGATGTATCTTCAGTAGGAGAAACTTCTTCATCAACATTGGTTGGCAGTGGTGGTGCAGCTACTGCTGCAGCAACTGCAGCAGCGGCAGCAGCAGCAGCTACTTCCTCTGATGGTGCGGGTGGGGGTGGAGGAGGTGGGGGCGGAGGCAATGGCAGCACAGGAGGAGATACATTATTGTTACTGTTGTTAGAGACTGCAATGGCTGCCAGGGCAGCACTGGGGGCTGTTGCAACAGCTGCCAGATCCTCGAGGGTACAGGCTGACTGTGCAGACATTGACAGTGACATGGAGTTGACTCGATGAGGCATTGACATGGAAAGAGGAAGGGACTGAGAAATAGAACATGAGTTGAGAGATGATCCAGGGCTGAGATTTGAAGAAGGGTGTGAAGGGACAGGTAAAGAAAGTGGAGGGACAGTACTACTCACAGGAGAAGGGGTTAGAGAAACTGAAGGAACATGAGGAGGTGAATGCAATTTTCCAGTAGAGGGAGCCAGAGAGGATATGGCTGATGTGGGAGCCTGAGGTTTACTGCTGGCAGTTGACATTGGAAGACTAATCTGAAAATAGAAGATAAAGAAAATTAATTTTTTTTAAAAAATGTTTCTCTGAAATTGTCAAAATTAAGAAAATAATAAAACTGTTTTTTTTTTTTTACCATGTCTGATGAAACGGCCATGGAGCGACTGTCAGCAGCAGCAGCAACAGCAATAGCAGCAGCAACAGAAGAAGTATCAACATTTGTGGAGGCAGGCATGCTGGAGAGTTTACCTGGGACTCCAGGCTCCATTTTGATATCACTAAGAGAATTGTCGGGTGTAGATTTATTTTTTACCTTTCTTCGAGCTCTGCTTTAAAAAAAAAAAAAAAAAAAAAAAAAGTAAATCATTAAGCAACAAATGAATACAAAAAGGTACACTTACATGCATGGCTAAAAGAAAGAAAAAAAAAAAAAAAAAAAAAAAGGGAGAGGGGTAGAATTTGTTGGCAGGCACTTCCTTTCAAAAGATTTAATAAGATTTGTTAGCATGTTTGCAAGAATTTCAAGCTAGGATGAAAATGAATAAACACTTCCATTTTTAATGAAAATCATACAATTGTTGGAGAGCAGAAAAAACCCTTTTGTGTGCATATAATTCTAAAAAGTATTTTCCATGCAAACAATATGAACATAATTATATAAAAAAAAAAAAAATTGTTAAAAGTCAAAGTCAATATACTAACCTGTTCATATTTATTCTTTTATTTTTAGGTTTGTTGAGTGGACAATTTATTCTTGAGCAAGCACATTCCGTGTGTAGAACACTGAAAATTAAATTAAACAAATAAACAACCTACTTTATTGACTTCAATGTTACTGTGAATACAGTTTAATCCCTCAAAAGTTCATTCTTAATTCATTTAAAATACTGAATCACTTTAGAAGTTAACATTTGAGGTAACAGTACAGAATAAATTTCAGTTAATATTATAACTACAAATTTCAAACTGAATACTTTAAGAGGAAAAAAAAAAATGTTTTCAACAAAATTATGCAGATATTTCCAGCTGTTTGTAAAGTCATGAATATTTTGATACGCAGAATTTTGATGATTAATGCTTAAATTCTGAGGAAAATTGTATTTCAGAGTCAAACTGAAGGAGATATAAAACAATACTAATATGTTGGTTAAAAGCAGGGTAGGGGGGAAAAAAACAAAACAACAAAAACAACAATGGGGAGGTGCATAAGGTTTTATCGTCAAGGCTTAGTGGACAAACATATCAGTTAAGTTGATGAGAAAGAAACTTGGATAATTCAGTAAGTCGTTGCCAATGTGGCTATTTAGGTTTTGTTTATCAAACAAGGTGATTTATTTTAAATGTGTTTAGATTGGTATGCAAATTTATTCCCATTCAAAAAGCACAAGAAACAAGGTATAAATTTCAAGCACAAATATCTTTTTGGCTTGGTACATGATAAGTTAGAGAAAAAAAAAACAAACAGGCTTACCCATCCTCTTGAGTAAAATCAAATGGTATGGTTATTTCAGCACCTTTTGATATCATTTTTGTGGAATAAATTAAGAAACGAATGAAACCTTGCTGCAGTTGATGTCGCATCTGAAAAAAAGTAATATATAAGAATTTTCACTTTTATACATGCATATTTTATCCTATGCTAACTGCTATTAAAAAACTAACCCTCTCCTCAAATATACACATTTTACTAGATGACCATTTGCTCTCATACACAGTAATGCATTCATATCTAAGTCAGACATGCTCTTGATCATAACTAATTGCAAAATCATTTCAATTACTTCAATGCTGAACTTTGTAAGCTTGACAAAATTATAAGTGAACTATTGAAATATTGCTTTGTGTGCTAAATGTAACTGGCCAAATAAAGAAATAAGGATTATTCATTGCTAGAGTCTTTCCTATATGAAATTACTTATATTAGAAGATGCTGTGTTTCTACTTTAGATATTAGATCTCTTGTAAAATCTAATGCTAACAGCAACTGTAAGGAAATTTGTTCTTAATCATTTCCCCTGCCTGTTTCATCTTGTCATGCCTCATGATCTTATTTGGTTTTTGTCCTAACAGTTTTGAGAAGTTTTAAATTATTCCAATTTTTATTTTAATGAGCCTGTAAATAAAACCATAACTAGATTGCTTATCAACAATAAATATTTTTAGCTTTTTCATTAAAAATAAGGATAAATGAGAAGGACATTGGGTGACCATTACGAACTGAAACTTTGTGAATTTGAAGTTATATGGATTCACAAAGACCACAACTTTGAAACCATGAAAACTAATTCTAGATCACAGCCTTCATATCTCATGAGTCTTTTAGCAGATTCTCATTTTGCTAACACCCCACTGTTTCACTATAATCTTGTTAGATAATTGGCTTGCTGCCTTCCTCAATCTCTCTTGCCCTCAATATTCCCAGTGAGGGCGAGTTTTCCACAACCTCCTTCCTCATTATGTGTCCAAAGAATTTCAGCTGTCTTTTCCTAATTCTAAGTACATGTGTTATTTCTGTTGCCATTTTCTTTAAGACTTCCTTGTTGCTTACTCATCCCATCCATAACTGATTATATAGTTAAAAAATTGGATTTAGTTTAACATGGACTGGTATTAAAAATTTGAAGAGCTTTGAAGATGTGGAAAGTACAAAAGGAAAAACGAAAAAAGAAGAATGCCAAACATAGATTTATATCTAAAGTGTGGGTGCACACAAACACACACACTAGAATTCAAAAATTTGAAGCCACCTCCAGAATCAGCATGGGATGATCTTGACAGAGTCAAAAAATGAAAAAAAGCTCTTAGAGTCATTGAAAAAAAAAAAAAAAAAAAAAAAAAAAAGAAAGAAAGAATGGAATCAATTATCAAACTTATACTTTGAGAATTTTTTGTAATAAATGCCAAAAATTTGTGCTGCAGTAATCAAGGCGAAAGGAGGATATTTTGATGAGAACAAAATTTAATCATAAGATGCTTTTTTTCTTTTTGTTATAATAAAATTTCTAATAAAAAAAAACCATGTATAATAATTTTCTCTTATTTAAAGTACAAAACAACTATTTTGGGGGTCAGTTTAAAAAATTACCAGGGTTGCTTCAAACTTTTGAACTGTAGTGTATGTATGAGCACATTCATTTTGTACCATATAATCTGGACTTCACAAATGAGCAAAAACAAACATATTGGAGACAATTTTAAATGTGATTACAGTATAGGAAATTACTGTTCTTTATTATGTTTTTGTACAAAGTTATTTTGTGTGTAGAGTGATATCCTATTTTTATAAGTGTTATGGTAATTTACCCACGTATGCATGAACTCTTCCAGCTATAAATAGGAGCAGGTGAGGGAAGTTTCCAGTAGTCAGCTTTGACAGTTGGACTGAACATTCTTGCTGTAATATGCGTTTGTATATGTTTGTATTACTGTTTCTGTTAATATATTTGTTTAACTCAATTCCTCTGTGTCTTTATTTCTGGCCCTAACAAGGCCACAACAATAAGTAAAAAGCATGAGTATATTTATGCACCAGATGTAATTCAAACTCTACAACACATGGAAAGAGCGAAAGTTTTCAGCTAAGATGACTTTCAGAAGACAATTACTTTGTTAGCTTTGTCAAAAAAAAAAAAAAAAAAAAAAAAAAAAGGAGAAGAAGCAAAGATAATGGCTTCTGTGAATGATGGCTAGCTATTCATAAGAAAAAAATGTCAGCTTGTTCTAATCATGAAAAAAGTAGTCCAATATATAAGTTGGATGTTGATGAGACGAAGCATTTTAGAGTAAGATTGATATATGTAATTAGATTTTAGCTATAAATACAGAAATTATTGAAATATTACACTCGTACATAACATGAATTCCCACTTTGATAGATCTGAATACATCTTTAATAAAAAGAGTTTGAAATTAAAAGGGAATATATTTTCTGAGAAAAATATGCGATCAAAATTTCCACAAACCTAACACTTACAATGGAACCTAAATGATTAATATGTTACTGAGATGTGCTACCAAATGAAAGCACGTTTACAAACATCTTTGATAATCATTTATAAGCAAAAAAACCTTCACTTGTATCAAAGAAAAAATAAAAATAACTACTCGATAATGTGGATGACTTACCTCAGCGTTTGGACAGCATGACCGTCGAATAAACCGTGAATCATTACCCAAAGAGCTGGCATCAATGAACAATTCTGTACCTTCCAACTTTGAATAAACTAAAGTAAATGGTCGTAACCTAAACGAGAAAGATATCAGTAGTTGCAATTATATGTGTAGGCAAATTTAGATAAAATTCAGGTTATTTTTTGAGAGACCAATGAAGACATGTTAAGAATTGCTTCCAACAAAGATGCACCTATAGAACTTAAAAAACCAAAAGGACGTCTATATGAAACCTTATATAAATTTTATTTATTAATATACTTGATATGAATGAAATCCAAATAAATCTCAATATAACCATTGTGACCAGGTAAAAATAACTAGCAGCAATAAATAAAACTTTATAATCTTTTTAAGAAATAATACAAAACTATTTCTTCAAAAAGTCAAAATAGATACTAAAATAAACTTCGACAAAGAGCTATCTATCCACAGAAATAAAACAAACTCTGAACTAGTAAAAAAAAGTTATTTTAATGAAAGTTTAGATAAAATATAGGATCTCACATCATTTTTTTTTTTTTTTTTTTTTTTTTTTAATAGATTTTACAAGATTGTAAAAAATCTTTTAAATTTTTTTTTTTTTTGGAGTGAGTTGGCTTTAAAATGGATTTTCATACATTAAAATTCATTTAAAAGATTTTTCTTTCTTTTAATAACAATCAATTTTGAAAATTATAATCTCTAAAATTATAACTATCTCTATCAAATGTCAGGTCATTGTATAAATGAAAAATATAAAAGTACAGTGAAAACAAACCTTTTCATAAATGCATTATCACATTCTTCTTTTAGTGACACATGCCCAATATACTCAGAAATGAGCTGGCCCTCCTTCAAATTTTCAGTCGCCTGCAACCCCTGGTTGATAAAGAAATGGTAAATTGTCAATAAATTTACATTAATTGACTTGAAAGGAAAAAAATTGCAATATGAGCTCTGGTAAAAAATTGGTTACTGAGATATTAAGTTTACAAGTCCCAAAAATTCATACACTGATGTTCTTTTAGAAGACATGGCTCAGTGAATAAAAACGCGAGTTGCGAGTTCAATACCGGTTTACTGCAGTGGTGAACAAAAACTTGGAGGTGAGTTAAAGGGAGATAACTGGGACACCCGGCATGTGACGTAGAAATAGAACAATCTACCCTGTTAAATGAAATAAAGGATTCAATTCGAAATTCCAATCACCTGAAGAAGGATGTAACGTTGTGAATGACAACAGTCCAAAAATGAAAATCTTATTTTTCAAACGTGGAATAGAATGTCTGTAAGAATACAAGACAGTCACCTATAGTTCCAGCACACACATTAATGATGTATACTTCATTATAACTTTAAGGTCAAACTCGATAGGAAAATCATATGAAATAACTATCTGAATCAAAGCATATAAAATTGTATGAAGATTTGATGTCTAGAAACAGTGTGTGTGGAGCAAAAGTGAGTAAATTTGAAATTGACAAAATGGCAACACATTACCTTTTTATTTTTTTGAAGATGAGCAAGTTCACAGAGCTGAACCAGCAGCTCGTCTCGTTTCAAAGTTTTCTCAGGTGTCTGCAGAAAGAAAATTAAAAAATACAAAAAATTAATACAAGCTTTGTTGTGGAATACAAGACCTAAAATAAGAAATGAAAATGTAATGATAGAAAAGTACCTTGTTGAAATTTAAGAAAGCATTTCAGACATTTGATAGATAAGGATAATTGTCGGCATTAGAAATTGCACTTTACGCAGATGACAAAAAATGGACCAAGTTGGTAATTGTTAAGTTTGAACTTTCTTAACCAAGTTTGAATGTTTTCAAACTTTTTAGTTGAAAAGATTTAGGACCGTCACCCCTTCCTCTCATGTTTTGCTTTATTCTAATAGATCACTCAAAATTTCCTCCTGAATGATTACCTTATCATGGAACATTGTTATTTATGTTATTACTACTTGATTTATTTATGAAGAGATTTCCTGCAGTGAATATCATCAGTAATATACATCCTTTACTGTGTCAAAGATGCATTCACATGCACCCATCCATCCTTCTTTCTTTCAGTTTCACTTCTCTTATCTAGTGTTTGTTAGATAATTGATTTTTATCTTTATATCGTAATTTTACTGGATTTTCTATAAGTAATAATGAAAAATGAGCTAATAAAAGAAAGGTCTAATAAAAAAAAAAAAAAAAAAAAAAAAAAAAATTAAAAATCAAAACTTTATTTACGTTCTGTCCATTTACTTTCACTTTAGATAAAGCTTCAAGCACAGCCATACTTAGGGTGTTTTTCTGTGCCTTTTCATAATTTCTCTCATAATCATTTTCATGGTCTTGCACCATTTGTCTGTAAATAGAATAATTAATAACTTAATTTTTTACTGAAATACAAAATTGATACAAGTATAAAATACAAATAACTATTGAATGATTTGCTTATAAAAACGAAAAATGACAAAAATTAGGGTCTTAAAGTTATGTGAATTGCAGTGTTGATAAATGTTAAAAATATTAAAAACTTGTAAAATTTAAAATTTTGACTAGTGAATTTACAATTTAAACAAATTCATTCAAACAAGGTTTGTTAAAAGACAACAAATGTCTTTTAAATGATTTTAATAAGTGTTTTTTTTTTGAAGGTGTAAAAAAAAAAAAAAAAAAAAAAAACTATCCACAGCTCCCAAGAATTCTTGCTAAAGTTCTAAGCTTCTGACTGGCTTCAAAATGAATTTCCTTTATTTTATTCAAAGTTTGTGGTAGTAGACATCTTTGGTATGAGTTTGAATTTTGAGTTTTAGCTGTTTGTATTGTTACAGGAGTGTGATGTTATTTTTCTTGACTTTTGAAACTGTGGCATCATATGACTGATTTAGTGCAAATCCTAAAATTAAAATACATTTTAGAATAGCTATTTTAGTATCATAGATGATTTTGTTAACTGCTGTTAGCTTCGGATATAGATTAACTGCTGACATTTATAATCTTTGCCTACAAGAGGGAGTCTATACACAATTTCCAACAAGGCAAACAAATTTGCAAACAACATTGGTTTTATATAGGGGATTTCATTTTAATGTGGTGTTATTCATAACTATTCAGTTTTAAACATCTTGTAATAGATAATAAATTACAAATGCCTATTACTGTGGACTTTATGCGTATAAATGGGATGTGATGGGTAAATTATTGCCAGTTCATATTTTTAATTTCACACATGCATAGTTTGTTTTCGATTTTGTTGACTGCACAGTATAGTAGGGTCAGTTGGTCACTGTTTGTGAGAAAAAGAGTACCACGACACAATTCACTCCACCAGAAATTTGGAAACAGCATGCAGTACTGTTTGGCAAATGTTGCTGAAACTAATTTGTTACACTCTTGTTATGGATGGCTAAAAATCATTTCCAAATCTAGGACTTGCTTAGTCATTTAATGTTAGCCAATATTATTTAAATAAAATATATATAAACCTATGAAATGACAAATTCTCAGAATCTACAAATCTGAGGTCAGTTTATCAGTCATTGCCAAGATTTTCAAGTCTTCCATATTGTAAACTATATGGTTTTAATATTATATATTAACAGAGGTAAATAAAGTGTTCTAATTAGTTGTGAGCTTCATATAATAAAGTTTCAAGCTAATAAACATATTTAGATAATAAGATTAAAATTGGTCCATAATTTCAGTAAAATACCCTAAAAACTTTAGAAAAAAAAAATGAACTAAAAAGATATTACTTTGCTGATATGTCCCATGGTCCCCTGGTATCATCATTGTCAACATTGGCTGGAATTTGGACCTTTCGTGCCGCCTACAAAAAAGATATTACATAAATAATATTAAGGATAACGAAAACGTAAGTAATATAAGTACATAGTAGGTATTGTTAGAATTTATTTTTTCAAATATCATAGTCCAACATATAATCAATTTTGGGGCAATATAGAAATGTGGTGATTGGGCAAAAGACAATTACCTTTGTTCGAGGAGGTTTCTTGGAGGTATCTCGAGAAGCCTTTAAATAGAAAGAAAGAGAAAACTTACAATTAGTAAAATCGTTTCAAATTACATTTTTCATCAAAACACACACAGTGGGTAGGCATCCATTTTTCTCAAGATAATGATAGTGTACTCTTTGGCCAAACATTGTCCTTGAGTGAGCAGCATTTGGAGTAGTTTAGCAGATCAATCTTTGCATGGCACTCTCTTTCACAGGTGTGACAGACGAAGCTGGAATGAAGGTCTAACATTGCTCTCTCTGCTTCTGATTTCCAACAGTTGATTTCACCTTCCCCCCAGCCTTTGTGAATCGTTGAACAGCATGGTGCCAGTTGCTGCAATCATCTGCTAGCTTGTTCCTAGTCAATGCCTGTGAGTTTCAGGTGACTCTTGCAAACGACCTTGAATTACCATCTCTCTCACTCACTCACTCACACGTATGACAAAGTGGAAAAAGTTTTTGTGTGACACATCTTGTCCTTTAGGACTTCAGACAAAATTGTTATGTTGGTGTGACTACCCATGCACATGAACGAGGGATGCTTTAAATTTTAAATTTATGACAAAAATGTTTAGAGTGCCTTAATCATCCGCAACCCAAAATTTTTTCCACTTTGTCATATATTTTTCCCACCCCACCAATATTGTTCTTGATTATATATATATATATATATATATATATATATATATATATATATATTCTCAAATCATATAAAAAAAGACTATGAAAAATGTGTCATTATATACTGCATAGAAATGGTTAGCATTGTCACTAGAACATAGCATATTTGCAGGGAGATCTCAAAATCTCAAGAGTATTTCTTCCAAGTGATAAACTGATAACATCTTAATGTTAAAATCAATTTATAAGCATTTTGTATTGTACACAAATTGTGTTCAGATTATAGACAGGTTAATAAAAATTGGAATCTGCATGTTAACAAAACATTAGGGTCAAGAAGACATCTTCAAAGAAACAGCAACAAGAGAACTTTTAAGCTCCACTAATGTTCTAACTAGTAAGCCCAATCATGTAGAGCCCTATATATATATATATATATATATATATATATATATATATATATATATATATATATAAACCCACACATAGGTTATTTGTAAGTAAATTTAAATTGTATTTATTTTTTATTTTTCTTAAAAACCTACCTTCTGCTTCTTTATGTTTTGTTCTTTATCTTTGTTTTCCTTCTTGTTTTCCTTGGCAGATTTCACTCTTTTTTTCTTCACAGTCTTTTGTCGCGTTTTCTTGGCCTTTTTGTTCTTTTGTGCGAAAGCCGCCATCATACGGTTGTTGACTTCTTCTGGATCTGTGTCGGTAGCACTGGTATCTGAATGAGATAACATTATTGTTACTAAAGAACCATCAGTTAGCATAAAAAAAGTTAATTTTTAGAGTAACAGAATTACCCTTTTTAATTTAACTGGTAAGGTCGTCCCAAAATAATTTTGAGGGAGAAACAAATTTTAAAATTATCAGTGCCATTTCATTTGGATCACTTTGTCTTCCCTTGGATTTAATAGGGATTTAATAGATTTACTGGTTATTGGTTGGTCACACTAATGGATGAAATTATCAACTAGTCTAAGATGCTTGCAAGTTACAAAAATACATAAATCTCAGAAATTCTGCTGTTCATTAAAAACAAAACGTTAAACTGAATATAAATCAAAACAAAGACAAAGAATCTGCACAAAATAATCAGCTATTTTTTATGAAAAAAAAAAAAAAAAAAAAAAAAAAAAAAATCCCGCTAATTTCTACTGCACAATGACAGATTTTAAAATCAAAGCCATTATTTTCACAATAAAACTAGCATTAACCGATTGATGTTGACAATATTTTCAGGATATACTGATAGAAATAATATAACATGTAAATTTCAAAATTTCAGCTTATAATATGTTTTTATCAGAAATATTTACAATTTATTTTGTTGGTGTGAGAATTTATAATGCAACTTTAGGTTTGTTTGTCATTAAATATATATAATAGTATAGTTATTGATATATATATATATTTTTTAATTTCAGACATATAAAGATTGCCATGGGTTGTAAAAGATAAAAAAAAGAAAAAAAAAAGGAAACAAAATATTGTTTTTGAGTGATAGGAATACAATGTTGAAAAAGTTGAACATTGGCAAGCTAAAAGTAAGAAAAAAGCTAGCTTAAAGAATGTTACAAAAAAGAGATTTCAGAAAAGTTAAAAGGGTAATAAGCAAGTGAACCGAAAATATAAAAAAGAAAGTAAGAAAATATTTGAAAGTAAGAAAAAGTAAGAAAATATTTGAAGATCGTATTGTGAATTTAAACAGAGAAAAAACTATTAAAAACATTGGCTAAAGACATGAAAGCAGCAAAAAAAATCACCTATAAGTAAACATCATAAAGAGAAGATTCTAAGTTGATTGAAGAAGTATATGAAAAATTGATTTATCAACAAAGATTTTTAGTGATGAATGTAAATTGTACATTGGACCTGATGACTGGGCTAGAAGTAGTTTCCATCACGGAAATAATCAACAGCAGGGAAGTGGTATAATGTTTTTGTAGGAAGTGAAATTACAGATCCTTTAGAGTCAATGATGGTGTCAAGATAAATGCAGAGAATTATGGCAAGTTCTTGTGGGAGATGTTTCTTGAGGAGTACAGGTCACAAAGAAGAAGCTTTAAGCTAAAGAGTATATTCATGTAAAGCAATTTTCCCCATTTGGCAAAGTTGACTCTTGCCCATCTTGACAAAAAAAAAAAAAGTCTTAAAAACACAAAATTAATGAAATAGTCTAAGCCTCTCCAGATCTTAATACAGAGTGCAGCAGAAATACCTCCCACATGTTAAGACATTAATGGCAATAGTGTCTTCATCTAGCTAATGTCTTACCATTATGTATTTCTAGGAGATATTTCTGCCAAACTCTGTACAAGAAAAAGAACTTGTGGTCCATCATTAAAGAAGAAATGTAGATGAGAATAGAAAACAATATTAAAGCAAAGTTCACCAGAAAGCAATAAAAATTGCTGCAATTAAAGTTGAAAGAGTAGAAAAGTTAAAATCATGAAAGACCTGATGAATGTTATAAAATGTCAAAGAGCCCATATTAACATGTAAAATAAACTAATTTGTTCAGGCATATGGGATATTGTGTTAATCCAGTATATTTCTATGGTCTCATCTTTTGGATTTATTTATAAATAAAAGTTTATGCTGAACTTATTTAGCACAATAAAACCTGGCACTACTCCCAAACACATGAATATTCTTAATAAGTCTGAAACTAATATGTGTATATCATGAACATTGTTTGGTTAATAACAACTTTATTGAAAACATTGACTTTCATAATAAAATCTGGCAGCAATCAATGTTAGAGTTAATTAATTTCAAGTTAAATCTTGGATTTGAGTGCAAACACGTAATAAAAATAAGACTCTTTATATTATTGTTCGTCTGTTGCACTCCTCATTTTGGGATCATATATTAATATGAATATCTAACTCCAGCTTTATTTGATGCAATGAAATAAACCTTGTATGATTTTTTCACTGAAATAAGATGTACTTCAGTCAATTAAAAGAAATGACTAGAATAATATATATATATATATATATATATATATATATATATATATATATATCTCCATTCATACATGTTTCGTTAAATAATATATACAAGTGTTGTCTATTTATTTTATGTAAATTCTTTTCATATCGTCACAAAATTTATATATATATATATATATATATATAACCATTTGTCAAAGCACGAGATTCTTTTATTAAAGATTTCCTTAATGAAAACAGTAAAGAAAAGGAATTGTTTCACAGCAGTTACATTGCCCTAAAACTGCATGTAAAGAAATATCTATGTAGAAAAGTAGTCAATGAGAATTATATGTTAAAAAATAGATATTAAACATAAAATGAAATCAGACTATAATGTTCCTTTTCACAAAGAGAAATAGATTAATCAGTTCAAGTGATTTTATTTGATGACGCAGATGAAACAAGAAAAAGAAAGAAAGAATTAAATCCCTAGCTAATATATATATATATATATATATATATATATATATATATATATATATATGTGTTTTCAACAAACTGGTTATCAGTATTTTTTGCTAGATATTTCATAACAACAGAACCTATTTTCTGGTCCTTAAAAGTCAGATAGCAAAAATTAATAAGGAACATAAGCTGTACTCATAAAAATGTTAAATACTTAAGGGAATCACCTAAATTGGTTTCATAAATGAAACATCTCACATTTTTTATAAACAAATTTTGCCCCCCGGATATTTTTTTTTTATTCTCTTCCAAATTCTTTTAAGTTTCTTTGTAAATAAATAATTTTAAGAATTACAATTTTACAAACCCTGACTTGTCAGTTCAGTAAATGAGTAGAATATTAATTTTGAAAAATTTAGGTTAATGAAAAAAAAAAAAAAAACTAAAAAAAGCAAACTACCTCTTGATAGTTAAAATGGCCAATAATATGGACTCAAGAAAGTAGGGAGAGAAAAAAAAATGGTTGAGCAGTCAAACAGCAAAAGCTACATTATTTTCATTAATTTACATAGATACATAAGAGCACATGCAAGCAAAAAAAAAAAAAAAAAAAAATGGGGGAGGGGTTAGCAGTTATCAAAATATCTCAACCCATGTTGTTAAAATGTGAAGAGAACAATGTTGTATGTGTTTGTGTGTGTATATATATATATATATATATATATATATATATATAAAAAGACATTTTTATGTTTATACATTCTTTTTATAGATACAAATATTTAAGTAAATGCTCTGTTTATAATAAACAGTATTAAACAACATTTACCGGCCTGAATGTCCGAGAAATTTTCATAGAAAATATTCGTCCTCCGACAGGAACCGAACCTGAATCCTATATGGAACCGTCATATAGCCTGACATGCCTTAACCTTTCAAGCCACAGAGGAGCGTTCAGTTTTTTTATAAACAGAGCATTTACTTAAATATTTGTATCTATAAAAACATAAAAATGTCTTAATATAATTGTTGGATTTTGTCCATTTCATAATGTGTGACGTCATTTGTTTACATTTGGATATGCCATGAGCAGATATGAATGTACACGAGAGAATCATGGAAGATTGTAGTTTAAAAAGACAGTAAAATCGACCTTGCTAACCAAACGCTCCTATGTGGCTGAAATGGTTAAGGCATGTCAGGCTATATGATGGTTCCGTATAGGATACAGGTTCGATTCCTGCCGGAGGATGAATATTTTCTATGAAAATTTCTCGGACATTCAGGCCGGTAAATGTTGTTTAATACTGTTTATTATAAACAGAGCATTTACTTAAATATTTGTATCTATAAAAAGAATGTATAAACAAAAACATCTTAAAATAATTGTCGGACTTTGTCCATTTCATGATATATATTACATACACACACACATACATACATACATACACATATTATATAGAAAAGAGTAATACAATTGATGTTTTATTGCCAATAAAACCTTATACAGCAGATGTGATCTACTTGCAAGCCTATCTTTCCAAACAAAACACAATCATTTGAATAGTTATCAGAAGCATTTCCTTGATTTTTACTCAGTAGGTATCATTCCCCACCACCTTCAAAATCTGATATTAAAAATTGTTTGATTTATATTAATTTTTCAGAATTTAGATACCGTATTTGACATTCTGAGATCATTATATGCACTAATTAAAAAAAAAAAAAAAAAATCTTTGTTAGTGAAAAGCAAATTTGTAGTTGGGTTTGAATACTTAGTTATGAAAAGGAATTCAATAAAAGGCTGCAATATTTTTTCTGGAGAGAATATTAAGCAAATGGAAAATTAAAAGAGAGAGGAAAAAAAAACATAAAACTCGTTAACCTAATTAAAAGAAAAAAAAAGAAAAGAAAAGAAAAAAAAAGAAACAAAATAAAACAGGGAAGGAAAACCAAATTCAATGGTAAACTGGAAAAGAGTTTTGAATTAGTAGAAAATAATTTTGACTAATCATAAGTATTCTAATAATTTTGTTATTAAATTTTTTTTTTCTCCCCCCAAATAATGCAAACCTACATCATGCCATTCAAAAGGAGGAATGGAATCTACATAAGCCAAGGCCAAGAGCTAATAAAAAAAAATACCAACACATCTAAGCTTTCAATAATAATGAGCCATTTTATTTACTTTATAACTGTAATACATTATAGCAATGTAAGATATATTTATAAAACAAATTTTAAGCCATTATCTACCACTCACACACAGCATTAACTATTGTCAACTATTATCGGATAATGTTTGCTTATCTAAATGAGAATGACAGAAAAAAAATTACATAGAAATAAACTGCAGGAAAGATTTCTAATTTTTTTTTTTTTTTTTTGTAAATCTATTTAAAATTTCAATACAAATGTAAATATTTTCTTACTAAAAGTTAAATTTCACTTATTTGTAATTAGCAGAGAATTTTAAAGCAGTGGTTTTGCAATAACCTTGCGCTATATTTGTAGCATATAAGAAATATACTCTTAAGGTGTGCTATATTTATGGGATAAAGTGCTCAATATCAGAGATAGAGCATGTGTAAATATAAAAGTGAACATTGAAGTCAACACTCAGAGGCGACAGGCTGTTTCATGGTAGGTGTAATCGTCAGGCTGCCTGACGATTGCACCTAACATGAAACAGACTGTCGCCCCTGAGTGTTGACTTCAATGTTCACTTAAGACCAATAAAAATGAACTGATCTGAATTTGCAATCACATTTTTGGAATTTCATCAGTTTCAATTAAGACATTCTTCCTCAACCTTATATTTCTGTAAACAAGGTGATATTTATGTAGTTTAGATTTGTTTGAAAAAGTTGAAATTGTACAGCATCAACTATTAACCAAATTTATAAAAGTCATACTGGTCAATAAATTTATTTCTGGAAAACAACACATTTTTCTGTACATCTCACATTTGCAGTGACTTCCTCTTTTTAGAAAATCTACAAAATTCTGATTTGACCCATTTATCTCCAATACTCAGGAAAAAGATTACTTGAAGTTATATATATATATATATATATATATATATATATATATATATATATATATATATATATATATATATATAGATAGATAAGTCCTTGAGATAAATTTTAACTTATTCTTGCTTAGAATTACCAGATTAAAAATAATAGGCATTCATTATCACTAATAATGGCATGTAAATATAGGTTGCTAACCAGACTATAGCAGAAACTTTTCTTAGCATATTAAGAAAAAATAATATATATATATATATATATATATATATATATATATATATAACTGGATAATTTGCTTCAGTGTAAAGTTATAAGGACTTGAAAAATTAAAATGATTATTTTTATATTTGACTATTTAAAAATACTTACATAGTAATTGCTCACTTCTAATTTACATGCATCCAACAATAAAAAGACATTGAAAGCAATATTAGCAATGAATAATAACTTCCAGGCCATTTTTTAAATGGGATTTTGTAATTATTGCAACAATAGGGGACAACTGACAGTGAGAAGTTACAAGCAAAGCAATATTTCCAAAGTGAGGAAAACAAATCATGAAGACAAAATGAGTAGGAAATGCAATTTAGATAAAATAACATTGATTATTCTCAAATAACATCTTTATTTTCCTCATCAGATTTGAAATGAATCAATCTTCAATTATGTGAAGGCAATGTGAAGAATTGTTTGTTCTTTAGCTGTTCAGAGATTGTACAATTTAAATCTGAGAGAAAGAGTTTGGTGTTAATTTGATAGAACCAAGATATAATAATGATGTCTCATAAATGAAAGGGAGACGGGGGTGGGGGGGGGGTTTGAACTAATACCAGTTTTTTTTTTAATGAATTAAAAGAATGAGAATAAGACCGGAAGTTACCAGAAAACAAATTATTTAACATTTGAAGAGATAATTATTAGGACTATACATTCATAATAAACACAAATTATTGTTTTAATCAGCAAATTCTAATCATGAGTTACGCTATTGCATACTAAACATTACAAAATAGAGAGTGCCAATCAAAATTATCAAATTTTATTTAAAATGACTATACAATCTGATTAAATCATCTCTCCAAAGGCCAAGAACTTTTTAAATATTTTTATTATCAGCACAGCACACTAAAAGAGCTGTTAAAAGCAGTGGACACAGTATCAAAAGAGATCATTCATAATCCATAAGAAAAAGGAGGGGGAAAAATTTAGAATATCAGTAAAATGATAAAATTCATTTTTAATCAAAATACTATAATAAAGAAAAATTAAGACAAAAAAATAGCACATTCCACAATTTCCAGCATTCACTAAGATAAATTATAAGGGATCTTAATTTACATAGTGTCAAGAATTGAAATATTCATAACATCACTTTTATTAATAATGCAGACCAAATGTTAATTCTAGAAGAACATTTTGCAAGAATTTACTTTCATGTAAATTCAAATGAATGTTGATTATTTTGAAAACTCTTGACAAATTTATTTGTTTTAAATTTAGAGTTCTGATCTTTTGGGTTTTTTTTCCAATTTTGAAGAAAATATATTGTAAAGAAGCAGAGATTGTTTTTATTGGTCCTACCTATTTTGTTACATTGAGTATTTCCCCCCCAAAACTTAGTAACAACCTATATGCCAACTGCCACCAACAAATATAACACTTCAAGTTGTTAATTTTTTTTTTTTTATCAAAATATTTGTATAAGTTACCTGCATAGTTCAGTATTTTACAAAGCCAAATTTGTAAAGCAGTTGTTATAAATACCTTATAAATAGTCTCACAAATTACATATTGATTTATACTAAACAAACTGAAGGAAAACAATGACATTTGGGTTAGTTTATTTTTATTCACTTCATTGATTTTATAAGGGAGATAACTGCAATTATTAAGTCAACGGATTCTTCCAGTATTCTAACAATCCTTTGTAAAATTTTGTTTCAAATTAAGCCAAAAATATTGCTTGAAGTTCCTTACACATACACACATATTATATATATATATATATATATATATATATATATATATATATATATAAAAAAAAGAATGATAAAAAAAAGGATAGTTGAAAATGCAAGCAAGAAAAAATAAATAAAAATAAAAATGAAAACTAGATAAAAAGCACATACAGGTAATTAGTTTTAAAACAATTTGAATAAGATTTAGAAATGGGGAATAAAATTTAAAGAATCCTAATTAGCAAATGCAATATCTTAGTAAACTGACGCAAAAGCATAAAGACTAGTGTTTGCTGTGTTGTGATAATAATAGAGGAAAAATGGATAGATATGAGACGGGATGGGGTGGGTGGCGTTAAGTATTGCTAAAATAGTGGTTAGATTCCAGCATGGCATGGGGATGGCAGATCTTAATCTTACCAGTGTGTTCTCCGGTAACCCTGTTCCTTCCCTTAACAGCCTCATACCTGATGTCTGAATAAGAGCCTGAAACAGTTAAAAGAGGTATTTTAAAATCACACATGCGAGCTTACCTGCTACTTAACCCATATTCCAGCATTTTGGTGAACTCAGGTCATGTGAAGTGAATCTCATTTAGAGCAGTGAGATTTACAAAAAGTAACATTTTTAAATTAAGGTGTTGTATGCTAACATAAGGACATTCAAATCTACAACTTTTAATAATAAAAAAGTCACCAAGCAAGAGCTCTAAAACTAAAAATGATAACTGTATTATGTGTGTATATACTTTTTTTAATTGCTATGTGCTGTTTTCCTATATAGGAAATAAATTTTTTTGATAGTTTTTACCAAGTGAATCAGATTTCATGAATAGCACAAAACTGATGCAAACTTAATTCCCTACTTTTACAAATAATTCTATAAGTGTTTTTATAAGCAATAGAATGAACCTTAAAAATAAAGCAAATTAGTGAAAGTGAGTTGGGAAGTATGCAATTTTTGAAAGATTTCTATTCTATAGAGTCCATGTTGATATCTATGAAATCTGATATTTTCTTTAGGAAGAGGATAGATAAAAATATTTTGTAATTGTTGAAACAATTTATGAAAGTTGATTCACTCTCAGAACTTTACTATAAAATATGCTGGAATTTATAAATAATTTGTAATTGTATTTTAAAAACAGTTATAAATAATCATTTAAAAATAATGGGGAAAATAGCAAAAATCAAAACAATTCAATTTCAAGAATATCTAACAATTTACATTTATATGTATACATTTGTTTTCACAATATCAACAAATCAATTCAGACATGAGGCTATTTACATAGAGAAATTCAAACTTTTATAAGCATATATGGGCTTTTTTTTTTTTTTTTAGAGCTAATAGTACAAATATCTTTATAAAAAAGTACAATATAAAATCTTGGTTTTTGTCCAGCTTACATGAAACTGTACATAAGGGTTTGAGGAAAGTTTTGTTGATTTAATCATGTGATCTTAAGGCAAAGAGTTTGGTTTATTTTTTTTATTAGGTTAATGCTATCAAAAAGTATTAAAATTGATCAGTTTCTGATCAATCTATGAAATTGTTGACTTAAACTGTTTAGATGATAAATAACCTGTCATAAGAAACAAAGATTTAAACAATAAATGATAAATATTTACAAAGTTGTAAATAATCTTTTCATTGATTTTGATGGCATTTTTTCATGTGGTGATGCCTTTATCTGAAGATCAAACTTGCTGAACACTTTGTACACATTTACCACTACTTTTCTTAATGCCACATACAAGAGAAAAGTAGCATACAGAATTAAAAGACAAAGAGAAAGAAAGCATATTAAAAAAAAGTAATAAGATTATATGCTGTAGAATTCATTACTAAAAAAGGGATAAAGTGGGAATAAAGTAAAAGTTAGAAAAAAAAATCTATTACATTAATTTTTTTCTTTCTTTTAAGATTACTGTCATAAGTCTAAGTACAACATGGATTTTGATATCTTGTGCTTTAAGCCACTAAAGATTTTCATTCATTTGATTAAACCTCCTTCCTGATTAAAGAAAAGAACACTATGAGGGAGAAAAAAAAAAAAAAAATGAATGTAACAAAAACCTGAAACCAAAAGCTTTACACAAATTTTAACAAAGCAAAAAATAAAGAAATAATGATAATAATATTCATGCAAATAAATATTAAGCTACACACAAAAGGTTTTAAAAATAATTAAAAAAAAAGGTTAAAAATATTTTAATTCAATTTTTTAAATAAAAATATTAAAAAATGTTCAAGTTAGTTGATTTGTTATCGAGGCTTGATATTCATACATAAAATACTTTTATTAAAAATAAAATAAATGGAACATTTTAAATTTTCTATTCTTAGCTTCATGCTGAATGAATTTTTCAACTATTTTATAATGAAGAAATTAGCTTTTTACAATTCAATAATTTTCAATTTGTTACATTACATCGTAAGTAATTTTTAAAAGAAAATCAATTTAATACAAACTGTCACTGATTTATAAATTAATAAGGTGAGCAAAGGAGAATGTTGTCAAAAAGGCTAAACTACAGTGAATCAGATATTAGGAAATTATGAAAATGCTAATAAGAAGCTTCTTGAAATAACTAATTTATTTTACAATGTTCAGTGTCCGAATCACTACAGTGAAAACAAAAACAATTTGGATTTATATAATAAAAAATGAAGAGTGGAATTGTACAAAAGTCACTGCAACCAGAAATAATACAAGAGGAAAAAAAAAAAAAGAAAAAAAAAAGAAAGGAGGAACAAACAAAAAACACAACAGGAAAAACAAATGAAAAAAAAAAGAAACAAGAAATGAAAAAAAAAAAAAAGGGGAAAAAAAAAAAACAACTGAAAAGCAGGTAAAAAAAAAAAAAAAAAGAAACGAAAAACAGGAAAAAAAAAGAAACGAAAAAACGGAAAAAAAAGAAACGAAAAACAGGAAAAAAGAAATGAAAAACAATAAAAGAAAAATGAAACAAAAAAAAAAAAAAAAAGGAAGGAAAAGGAGAAAAGGAAGTAAAAAGGAAGCAAAAAAGAAAGAAAAAGAAGAAAAAAAGTTATTTCTGGTCACAGTGTACAACAATAAAGATAATTTCTTTAAAATAAAAAAAAGCTTCTCTGAAGTTTAAGTAGTGCAAGAAAAACTATTTTTATTACATACTTTACTGTTTAAAAGAAAAAAAGCTATTTGAATTACTTTAAATAATTTCCAGAAATTTTATAAAACTGTTGTGTATGATACACCTAATTTACATAAGCGGACTACCGACCATATAAATATGGGTTGGTACCGGAAGACGGGGAAGATAGTAGAGATTAAGAAATTGAATCCAGAGACTCTGCCCGACTGCGATTTAGTCAACCCCTTATGCAGGAACAGTCTTCCCAAGAATATACCAAACTAACTGTAAATATTGTGTACCTATTCTTTGTTTCAATACATTTTGTTAACGTACATTTTGTGTTGTATTATTCCATGCTTATTTAAGCTTCAACAAAAACAATAGTCAATAAATTAACTTGGTAAACACTCAAAGCAAACTATTTAAGAGAAAGCAAATATAATCACTAGATAAAGCATAAAAACTAACAGAAAAACTTTTAAATTTAGAAAAGACAAAAAACAAAAAAAAAATTAAAAATTAAAAAAATAAATAAAAAGAGCAAACGATATACACTGAGAATGAATGAAAATAAGTCTTTGATTGTTTAAAAGTTTTATACATAAATATAGATGTCTATAGGGGGGGAAAAAATAATCTTAATAAGCAGACATTAATGTATATAAGTTGCCACAAGATAACTGCTTCCATTTAGACATTTTCTGCATTTTATTTCTTCTTGGAATTCTTCCTCTTAAACGATTTAAAAAAAAAAAAAAAAAAAAAAAAAAAAGGAGGGTAGTAAATGATGTTCAGTGACTAAAGGGTCTCCTAAAAAGAAGGTAATTGAAATGTTCTACCTGTTAGTTCTTCCAGTTTCCTTGTTTGAATAAGTTTGGCTTTTTCAATATCCACCTGACGTGGTTCACATTTTTCACAGAAATAAGATTCGGGGATATTGTCCCGGACACCCATACAATCTATATGTTGCCAAACACTAAAAAAAGAAAAGAAAATAGAAAGCTTGATGCTGGAATAAAAAAAGACGCATTTATTTCACAAGTTTTTTCAAATAAATCTTAAATTTGATTATTCATTCATCAAACACTTAATCCCTTTTAATTCAACAACAGATTAAGAGAACACATTTTTAAAAAGATTATCACAGGTTCAATATAAGGCCACACACATGATATCAAAATTATACATCAGAGTAATATGAATTATGAACTGTAAAGGAGGAAAAAAAAAAAAGTTGGGGTCGGGGGTGAGGGATCAGTCCTTTCACCCCAAAATAAAATAAAAATGTACCTGCACTTATCACAGCATATCATGTAACCATCATCATGCTGGAAGTCACATATGCACCGTGTTATACTGTCTTCAATTTCAGCCTCTTTTTCCTTAACAGGAGGCACTGACATATCAACCTCCAGGTGCCCATTAAGTTTGGATGTTGGCGGGGGAGGAGGTGGGGGAGGTGGTGGAGGAGACTGAGGAGGTGTAGGAGGGGGTGGTGCACCATAATTGTGGTCCTAAAAAAAAAAAAGAGAGAGAGAAAAAAAAATATGTTAATACTGCAAGTTTTATATGAACGAAAAAGAACCTAAAGATAGCAGAAAGTAGTAATGGCAAATCAAATACTGAATTAGGATTTGTGTACAATACTGATCCCAACCACAATTTACTGAAATTATAAAAATATTAACAATTGTGTAATATTCTCACACTATTATCTCCCTTTAGTAAAAGGGAGGGGAGATAATATGACAAAAATAACACTAGTAAATGCAGATTGCAGACATTTGTAAGCTATATTATGTATAGTTTACTCATCAAGTTTTATTTCTAGAATTAATCTATCTTTACACATAAAAATACAAAAACATTCCCTTGCCAATAAATTCTCTTTATATATGTATCATTTAAAGAGAGAAAAATATATTCTATTTTTTATTGTATTCATCTGTTAATTATATTGAATCCTTTATATTGGGTTGGCCCAAAAGTTTGTTCAGTTTATAAGTAAATTTTAATACACTTAATAAAGTTACCAAACTTTTTGGGCCAACCCAATAATATATACATTGTCAGTTGGGCACCTTGAAGTGGTGTAATGGTTAGCAAGCTTGTCTTGCTAGAACAATTACAAATGAGTAGTGTGTTCAATCTTCACTGGGTGCCCCTTACTTTCAGCCTTGTGTTACATCCAAGCTATGCTTGGAAAAATCACTGTATACATTGTCAGTTTTATATGGATATCAAAAAAAAAAAAAAAAAAAAAAATAAATAAATAAATAAAAATGTCATAATATAAATCTCAACTTTCAGTACATCAATACCAATTATAACCATATGTTGCCAAATGGCTTTAATCTGCTTTAACAAGTACATTGTAAATGGATAGTGAGATTCATCCAGTTTGTTACAATTCAGCTGATTAGTGATTAAATTGTCTTGACCCCTACAAGGAAAAAGCTAAGAAGTTCAAAATCTAGATAAAGCAGGTTGTACATAACTTACCAATTTTACTTGATAAGGAAGTCCAAAACAACTGGCATATGCCTCAGGAGGAGGGTATGTGACATCCTCTTGAGCTGTGGTAGCAGCTGCACTTGCAGCTTCTCGGGATTCAGGACTAGAACATAGAATATGAGAGAAATATTGATCTATCACTTTTAATGGATTTTTTTTAATGAATTAGTTTCCTCAACATTGCAAATGTAATTTCTAGATTAAACAATAAGTTGTTTTTAATGACATTTCTGCAAAGAGGAAAATATATTTTTAACTATCAGTATTATATATTTTTAAATCAAAATAGATTTTATTTTTATTATGATATAGACTTGCATTTCAATATATATATATATATATATATATATATATATATATATATATATATATATATAGCACATTTTTCTTGGTTCCCAATTTAAGATTCAGAAATAAAAGTAAATTTAACAGTGAAAGGAAGAAAGTAAAATTTTAAGTAAATTGTATAAAAAATATTAATTCTAATATGATTCTATACTATCTTCAATAGTAATCTAGTATTAAGAAATTACAGTAAAAAGTATTCTTTTATTGAAAATGAAAATGCTAAGCAAAATAACTACTATTTTATTTTCTTTAAGAAATAGAATTTTCTTTTTCTTTCATGTACCTAATGGACATTATTTACACATATAAGAGTAGATACAAGAATGAAAATTATCTTATACTTTTGACCGAACAGATGCTGTAGCTTAAGTTTAAAAGTATCCCAAGCATAGATGCAATGATTCAAATGAAGGTTTCAAACCAGCTATCAACTAAGTGGCATTTAAACATAATATCTAAGCAACTGTACAAAAGAATATAATTAACATTATCAAAATTAGCAAAGCTGATGGACAATCAATCATCATCCACTGTTTCATTTTTACTATTCTAACATCTCATTAATAATTGATTATGAATAGGTTAGGTTTTAGCATTCAGAGTTGCATGAAAAGCCCTTACAATTGTCAACATTTAATCTCAGACCAAACTGATGCTTTCTCTACAACCAAACAGTTAAACAAGGTTTAGATTATTACCATTTGGTTTTTGTTCCTTTTCAGAGTAGCCTATGAAAGAGTATTTTTAAAGAACAAAGGAATAGTTTAGGATAAAAAAAAAAAAAAAAAAAAAAAAAACAAACATGAATTTATGTTTTTACATGCAATATTTTCAGTTGCTTAACCAAATTAAATAAGACACTACAGTATGTTCTAAGATGATCAGAATCTATTAGGCTCAAAACTATTTCAAGAAGTTTAAATGACATGTGTAAGATATATAATTATCTTCAATAAGAGTAAATAAGATTGTCTACTGAGTGAAAGAAAAAAATCTTTTTGAAGTATTCAAATTACATAATTAAGAGTTGTTAATCTTGAATTATTTACAGGAATTATTGTTTCAGTGGGGGGAACATAATATCAAAGATAAACGGAACTAGTCACTAATATATTACAATACAAGTGAGAAAGCACAAGCTTTAATATTTTTAATAAAAGCACAATTTCTGAAGCAAGTGTAAATTTCTCTGATGGTTCCCAATGCAGATCAAATAGTTATAACTCAAAAAAAAAATTTAAGATAAAGAAATGTCTCTGATTGTAGTAAAATCAGAGTACAGGGTAATACATGAAAAGGAATAATTATGAAAGTTTTATAATTGTATCAGAAATGGTTTTTGAAATAATGATTTTCTTGTTATAAAATACAATTCATCTTTATATATAATTTTTACATTTGCATCTAAATTATGATAGATTCTGAAAATTTAGATTAAATCCTATGAGAATATTTTTCATGTTTTTTATTTTCTAGAATGTTAATAAGAAAGAAAAAGTTTACCAAATGTTTATAGGCAATATAAATCACAAATTATCAAAGTTAAGCAATTGATAGAATTACTTGATTTTTACATAAGGAATCACTATACAAAGTGTTAAGAACTTATATCAAACACAAGTTATTGCAATTGTTTTTTTAAATTCTCAAAAGGATGAAATTAACAATATACAAAAAAATTAGCTCCTAATTTCAAAGATCACATTTGATGTGCACTGTAATATATATATATATATATATATATATATATATATATGATAAAATATATTTTTATTTTTAAGATATGCTATATTTATGGGTTAAAGTGCTCAATACCAGAAATAGAGCATATGTAAATATATAAGTAGATGGTGTGATTGCTTTTGGCATGAAACACACCACCACCTCTGGGTGTTGACAATGTTTTATATATATTTATATATATATATATATATATATATATATATATATATATATATATATATATATATATATATATAAATAAACTGCTGCTATTAATGCAATGCTCTTCTATTCAAATTAAGTTCTCCTAGCTACTGACATCTTTTGCATGTTAAAATTTCCCTTCCGCTCTGTTGTGTGATGACAGCTTCAAGGAAGAATCTCTGACTGATGCCAAATAGGTCAGGTTTTGATCCTGGCTTGAAGCAGTTGGATGTCTAGCTACACTGATGAACTGTGATACAGCAAAACAGTGTCTGTGGATGACCATATATTATATATATTAATTATTATTTAAAAGGTGACACACAAGGCCTGATATTTATTCAGTTAAGTTTTAAAAGTTGTATTTGTTCATTTTTTTTTTTTGTAAATACAATCAGTATGTTTTTATTTACGAATTAGGAATAATTAATTAACCCAAATGAAAATTTATGAAATACGATTTTTATTGCTTTATTGTTATTATACTGTCATCAAGGTTTTCAAAATGTAAATTAATAAATTGCTCAGGGGTAACTTAATTTTAGTCTGGTTTATTCAGTTTCAAAATTAGCTTAATTACAAAGCTTCACTGTTAGATACTGCTGATTAATTATCAACTGATTGTATATTTTCATAAATCATTTCTTACTCCAATTACATGTACAAAGAAGTGCTGAAAATTTCTCAGCTGCATCAAATCCCCAAAACGTGACCACATGAACAAATATAACATTTTTGTTTTGGAAGGGTTTCTTGGTTAGCTCAAGAACCTTTCAAGAATCCCTCATATAGCTAGGAAGAAACAAAACCTCAGTACTAATATTACAAAACTGTACATGAAATTTTGAATGTAAGAATTCCTTTAAATGGTAATCAATAACTGATAATGTAATAAATACATACTGAATAGACCAAAGAAACAAACAGTATGAAATAGTAACCATATAAAAAACGAAGAATTATCCCATTGATTTTGCATAAAAGCTTTAAAAGTTTATTAATTATATGGAAAAAAAATTAGTCATATAGCATAATGTGAGAATAGTGATATGCAGAAAAGTGAAGCAGGCTGAAACTACAGTATAATAATAAAATATTTATAACATAACAGTTATTATACAAAAACAATAGGTCATAAGTTTAAGGCTACCTTTTAAATTTTGAAAAATTGCCTAAAAATGGAAGTTTGCATGCCTTTTTCAAAATCAAACTACTAGCTCTCTTCAAGCCACATAGACTTTCTCTTCCTGAAGGGCTTTTATTATATATTCAATAATGAAATTAACTAATTACTGCATAAAGTTTTAAAATTTTAGCTTTTTGCCTAATCTACTCTACTAGCTAATGGTAATCTTAGGGTTTATGTAACTCCCTCTCTTAAAATGGGATGCCATGCACTAATGGTACAAATAGTTTCAGCATTCTAGTTTAAGAGTTGATTAAACCAAAGAAGACATGAGACTTGCAAATTATTAAAAATCAAGAGAGCGGACGCAGACCTTCGGCATATAGTGTAATTTTGTACTGAAAAAATCTGATAAGCAACAAGCAAATAATATTTGATTCACATATTTTCAGAAACCATTAACAATAAAAATGATAAAAATATGATGCTATTGACAATGATAATACATACAGAGTATCAGCAGCCATTTTGACTGCTGTAGTTCCAACCAGCTCCTGGTGGACTATCAAGCTCATGATGACAGCTTGATATTCTGCTTCAAGTGCAGCAGCAACAGGAAGTGGACTGGCTTCTTTTTGCCTAGCATGGCACACACCCCCTGAAAGAAAAATTCAAAAGATGTTATAAATCAATATATAATCTAAAAATGTAATAAATTGTATAACTGAAGCAGATAAATGTTCAATATTGTACATATAAATAAAAAGAAAATAAGATTTCATTTTTGAATTAATTTGATAATTTTTTCTTAAACAAAATTCCAGAATTCATTTTGGTAAGCTGTTACTTTCAGATGTAAACAAATCATCTTAGATTAGTGTAAAATGGAATTTTGTTAAGAGATTGAATTAAAATGAAAGATTGTCTTTATGAAACAGGTGTGGAAATTTAACAACAATCATAGGATAGAGGCAGAGATAGATTTCTATCTGCATGTATGAATGAATGTAGATCATTCTATTTTAAATGCTGACAATTATCAAACAGTGTATTTTTATTTTGAATGTGGATGTTTTCTTTTTTGTTAATAAAAATACATTAAATCAACTTTTCAAAATGTCTTTCAGTTTCTATTTTGCTTCTTTTGGCCAACTGTTTGGCAATGAAAACAAATCCGTTTAGGGTTTTTTTTTAGCACTGAAAAAAAAAAAAAAAAAAAAAAAAAAATCATTTTGAAGTTAATAAATATAATGATGCACAAAACAATGAAAATTAGGAAAATAGTATGGCTATGATATCTAACCAAAAGTATTTTTTGAGAAGACAAGTCACCTATTTCTGCAGGATGTATTACAAAAATTGTTTTGTAGCTTTCTAAAAATAAAACTACTTGATGCTACCATTATACAAAAAAGTGAAAAACAATAGCATCATAAAATAAAGATAGAGAAAAGACTCAATTCACTAATGAACAATGTCAAATCTTGTAGCTACTATCAAGCATAAAATACAAGGTATTTATGACATCAAGATATTGTTAGGTATACCATAACAAATTTGACTCATATGGATTGATTTTTAAGTTTTCTTTGAAAAGATAGAAAAGATCTAAATGAATGTTGTGAAAAATAATTTAAACAAAATTTCTAGTGTTACTTGTACTTCAAGTAATTACATTGAAAATGCCATCCTATTTGTTGAATAGTAGGCATCTGCTTATCTTGTGAGATAATGGTAGCACCCAGTTTGGTCAAAATTCAGTTCTTTGGTGGTTAGACATGAGTGATCTCTCCAGGGCACAAGCACTGAAAATGCCATTTCTATTTGTAGAATAAATGAGACTCAATATCAACAGGATTTTCCTATAATGATTACTGTTGTGCAGAGAAAAGTATTTTAATTTAGGAATGAAAGACACAAACAGAGCTCACTTATGCATTGAAACCAAACTGAGGAAGGGAGAATACCCCCACCAAATGTTACAACAGCACATACACAACAAATAAACCATGCATTTTAATTAAGCTTAGTTTCAAGTTTGGATATATAAAACTAACTAGTTAGGAGGACATCTTCATTTTAAAAGGTAGTTATATTTTGTCCAAATGAAACATTGATGCAATACAGCCTTTCTGCAACACTTGTGTGACACTGTAGTAAAGAGATACCTAACAAGCTATTAAGTAATAACAAAAACAATTCAATTTCTATTATATGATTTGTAACATTTACAAATAAAGTAATAGAAATTGAAAGAAAAATGGACCTCATTGATATCATTTATTAGTCAGTAAATTATGGTAAACTTCTGTAGAAATATGTCTAAAAGAAGCAAATGAAGTTTGTATGATAATTGGACAGATTGAAAAAAGAAAAAAAGAATTACTAATTCAAGTTATGTCGATATAATATTTGTGAATATACCATTTAGTAGCATTTTCTTTTTATTCATTTTTCATACTCAATTTTTCTGATGATAATTGAGAGATTGCAAAGTAATTTACCCAACAAAGACTATTGCATATTCAGTTGCTGGGATACAGAAGATCTACTAAAGCTAACAAATGAGTGAAAATTGAATGAGTTTTAAACGAGAAGTTATTTAGGACTTTCAGCTTTTACACCCATGTTAACTGTGGAACCTTAAACTGGTAGGTAAATCGGCAAGTTAAATATATTATAAAATTTCAATCCAATGATTTTTCTAATCAAATTAAACAAAATAGAAGATGCAATTAAAATGGTAATAAATTCAACTTTACAAAGTGGCCTATAAGCTGTAACACACAATATAATGCATCTGAAATTCTTTGAAAAAGCTTTAGCAACATTTTCAGATACTCATCTAATTGACTCATTTTTGAAAGAGCAACAATTTTACCAAAGAGCAAAATTGCAAACATTATCTTTATATACTTCACTTAAAAATGTTTTTACCATCTGCACTAAATGTTGTAAAGTGCTTCATCACAAGTTTAATGCAAAACTTTCTACATGTATATATACCTTCAGTAAGATTCATTAGTGTCAATTTTCCAAGTGATTTTTATTTTCTTAAACAATAACTGTTATTGTTTTATAAAGATGAACATTTTGAAAACAAATTCAAGCAGTCTATAAAAGCAACAAGTTACTTAACATCTTTCTCTACTTAAAGAAAATAACATTAATCAGTTCACAAACATCTTGATTTTGCTTTGTATTTGAATTACACTTGTATCATATCAATAGTGTATTTGTGTTGTTTTTATTTTGAAAATATTCTATCAACTAATAAATATTTAAGAGTATTTGTGCAGCTTACTTGATAAAGATGTAATGTCTTCCATCTCATTATTTTTAAGCAGCATATTAATAGCATTGACTATACAAAACTTTTCTGATCATAATTGAACATCTATTATTGTTAAATCAACTAATCTAATTTTTTTTTCAAATATAAATAAAGCATTTTATTGTTAAAAATAAACAAATATTGCCAGTTAGATCTTTAAATATGGTCAGAAAAAGTCTTAGATCTTTAGATTAAATGGAAAATTAATTAAAAAGTTAATTTCTAAAAATATACAAGTTTATTTAGCAAAGTAATAAAATTTAATTTCTCAATGAAAATATTTATCAAATTGTAACAATTAACATCAAATTTTTCATTAAAAATAAAGTCAACCAAAATGTACTTTATTAAAATTTTAGTAAACTAAAAACCATTCCCCTACTTTCTATAGATAAAAATACTCATATGCTAAATGTCAACTCATTACAAATGAAATGAAATTGAATAAAGAAAGAAAAAAAAAATGGTTTTATTCACTAAATAAATTTATTTATTTTGCAAGTCATGCAACTTTGAATTTCTATTTTAAGAATGTAGAGACTTTCTCTCTCTCACATGCACGCACACACAGACACATGTGAGTACATGGATATTAAATAAAACCCAAATTGCAAATAAAGAAGTTTCATTGTTATAAAAAAGCAAAAATTTGATTGGTTACAAAAATAAGCAATACAAGGTTAAAAATAGGTTCAGATAAAAAAACAAGACAAAAAAAAAAAAAAACAAAATGTAAATGTTGCACATGGTTAGAATGAATGTCAAATATTAAAAAAAAAAAAAAAAAAAAAAAAAAACCAAAAAAAACTTATCAGTTTACTCAATGACATTTTTTTGCATAAACATGACATATGCATGCAGGTTATTTTATTTATTATCAAATACTGGGCAGTATATAAACATTTAATCTAGGATATAAATGTCTTAGAAAATAATTTCTGATGGAGAAAGCAGTAATTGACATAGTGAAGAGGGTAATAACGGAAAGGTTAGAAAAATTATATTTTGAATATGTTTGAACTATTACAATAGTGAGAAAGGATTTATAGAATCTTGCTTGTTATTCATGAAATAGTAAATGCATGCAACTCTTTAGTTTTATTCCCGTTGGAAAAGATTTTAACTTCATTCAAAACTAAAACTGAAAATAACACCTGTATAATATCAAATTTGTTACCTTAAGAAGAATTAAAAAAAAAAAAAAAAAGTGAAAAATCAACATTTTTAAATTGTTTTTTTTTTGACATGATTTTCTTACACTATGTATGATACCAATATTAAGAATATTATTGCCAGACTAAAACAAACTTGAAACATTACAAGACCCCCCCACCCCATCAAAAAACAATGACGATCCAATTTGGATGTTAAATAAAGTATTTAATGTATTTGGTATTTAGTTCTTGGTTTAAATAAAGCAGCAAAGACTATTAATTATCATGAACTTATATTTTCAATGAAGATACAACTTCAGGTCTGCTTCAATAGATGTTAGAAGGCTTTTTTTTTTCTTTTCAAGTGCCAAACTTATTGTGTTCATATCCAAAAACAACATCCAGGAATATGTCATGTAGAAGCTAATTACTTCTTAAACTTTTAGTCTTTTCTAATTTGTATGATTGGGTAAGTTAAATGGTTGATTGTAGTTCAATAAACAATATTATCCTTGATCTTTAGTTATTAACAACAACTTATTATACTTAGTCATAATTTATGCAATACAAATGTTTTAATGAAAGAGCATGATTATAGAAAAAAATTGAATGGCATATTGGAATATAAACTGCGCATATTCAATTGTCTTTCAATTCACAATGGGGCTTTTTGCATTGATTGAATACCGATTCAATGGATTTGAGTGAGAGTTTCAAGGGGAGGATAACTCATGCACACTGTACAGACAACTTACTTTTTTAAAATAAAATACAAAAGTATTAATAATTATTAATTGTATGCTTCAGATATATCTGATTAATATATTTTTTTATTAATGATCAAAGCACTAAAGAATAGCACCTCCATCCACAACCCACATTGATTATTTATAAAACCCTAAATTATCTGAAAGGAATGTGTATTGGGTAAATTTAAACAAATGTAATATTTTCTATAAATTACTACAATTTTCTTTTTAATATTATAGCTTAAATATAATCATTGCCAAATAACCTAAGTTGATTGAAAATCATTATGAAAACCATCATTTGTATACCCTCTGCACCAAATTTTAAAAATTGGAATATTTTATTGCTTTACAATACTGTTATGATGTTGATTTGGGGTTAGTAGAGACAAACGCCAAATAACACGTAACAATCAAAAGG